AATGAACTAGTTTGGTGCTTAGTTTCCCCAAAGTTAGATTTCTTATTGCAATAGAGATGACGAATCCCCTTAGAGTCGTGGGTCAGAAGACTTGAGATGCAGTGGAGGTGGGTTTGGGGATCTGTGCTCAGGATGTCCTCCCTAGCTGATTCCTGCCCACACCAAACTTTGGGTGCCACCACTGTGTTTCTCAGGTAAAGCTGATAAACTTACCTTGTTAGAAGACTGAAGAAAATCTTCCAGGGGTGCCAGTGTGTTTTCACTGCAGCTTTTGAGAGATAATGATAACAATTTTCCATGGAACTCAGTAGGAATCTAATTCAGGCTGGGCGATGGGGAAGAGGTCATCGATAAGGGGAAACATGTCTTTTTGGGATGATCTGCACTTTATGTGACTTTCACATGACAATGAGGGGCTTAGTTTCTTCTAAGTTATGTGTTCATACTGATTTGTGCTCTGCCGAAAACCGCAGTTATGCTGTGTTCCCAGAGGCAGTTTTCCTGTATCACCCTTGCCAGTTTGGGTAAAGGTAGAAAGTGATGAGTTGATGTTTAACTCTCCCGAATGGCTGCAGGGACTATTGCCATAGATTGGGTTGCCAGGTGTCTGAGTTGGAATCTTGGTGTTTTATGAAGTCACCGAACCATGATATTTAGGGATTTGACAGGTTTTCTTTTGTATTTTAAATAATTTGACCCAAATATGAGATGTTTTGATATGCTTTCTTTATAAATTTATAATTGTGTGCTTTGAATACCTGGGATAAAATTGGTAGAAGAGTTAACTTAGGTAAGTATTTACCTGTGAATCATAGGTGGCTTGACATCGCTAGTTTGTAAATTAGCTGAGAAAGTAAGCTACAAATATATAAAGTAGTAACCCAGAAAATAAGGGCATTAAATTTTGATAGTTGGTGGTTCGGTTTTTGGCAATATGGGCGATTAGGCAATCTTAATGTTTGCCACCTATGAAGTACTTGGATATGCTCAATAAAACAAAGTAGTCATCCATTTAAGTGGTTGAATAAGTTCACAAGGAGGTAAGGGATATAGCTAGAAGCCAGAAACAAAGCAGAAGCAGACTTGGCCTTCCTTTATATAGGGTTTGGGATTTGAATTTATACTCTGTAGTCTGGGAATCCTCAAACTGAGAAACTAACATGAAATTCCTTAGAGAAATTGGCAGAAGCCAATGCAAAATATTTTGAGGTGCAACCTCGACCTGGACCGTAAAGGGTTCCCCTAGAAAATGCCCTACCAGAATTGGACCCAAAATTCAAAATTACAAAATCCATTAGGTGATCCACCCTAAGTGCAAGCAGCAAACCCAACAAAGGGTTAAAAGCCCTTCTCCCAAGAAATTCAAATAACGTATCCCTCAGAGCTCTAAAATGAGTTGATACTCTATAGTGTAGAGAATGAAGTTTAGATACTGAAGAGAATGGCAGGAAATACTGTTATCGTATCCTGAACTTGGTGCTAAAATGTTGACAAGAGGAAACTTCAGTTGTTTCTTCTTTCAAGAATGTTACTTCTTTCAAAATATCAGTTAGGTAGTTAGGTGCAAATCAGTTACACCATTGCAACTTGATAAATAAATATGCCTAAAAAATATAACATACTAACTTTTGGGACAAGCTTTAAGTGGAAATCCTGAACAACACAGATATTGCTTAGGACACATAAAAGTTAAGATAGATGCCATTTGTAAAGTAAAGTATATGAAACATCCCAGAAATTGCCAAGCAACAGAACTTTTGAAAGCATAAGTAAAATATGGCAAAACTATCGTATATTGAAGCAGTTAAATAAAGAGTAATTCAAATCATGTCAAAGATACAGGATTCCTTTTGCATGCTTAATGATGACATAAACTCTGGGTGAAATCACTGAACCTGAAATGTACTAGGTTTAGTAAAGCAAGCGAGGAATAATTGCATTTCACTAGCAGAACGTGATACGATGGGAACAAATGTTATCTACTTTAGATTTCTTCTCAATGAATGAAAAATGAATGATGCATAAATCACCAAATAAATTAATTTTTCCCAAAGATGATGAACTTGGTTAAAAATATCCCCCTCCTTTTATCATTGATGTGTAAACTGTAAGACCAACATTTTTCCATTCTTGCCAGTTTTGAATGTTGTGTGCTAAGGCCAATAGGCTGTCAAGTGTCAACTTTCTAAAGATCATATTCCATGTGGGAAAATGTGTGGTGCTCTTGCAGCAGAGAGGGAACTGTTAATTCCATGCATTACATAGTTGCCTCAGACTTCTTATGAACTTAATACCTCTTCAGAAGCTGGTGGCTGGCTGACTCATTTTTTTTACCAAAGCTCTTTTGTTAAGGTAGAATGAAATATAAAAGCTGTCAACTAAATTTTGACAGTAATAATGACATGTAGCAACAGTCATAAATTCCTTTTCCTACGGCTCTGGGTCTAATCTTTCATCTGAACTCTCTATTCTGTTGTAGCTATTCATACAAGTATTTTTGCCCATTTCCACGCAGCCTACCATTTAGTGTAATGAATTCATAATGTAGTCAGTTGAAAAGAACTTGGAATTTCTGTTATTGTTTTCTTAGCCATTGTCGATTCTCCTTCACTAATCTCCTACCTACGATAAGCCTGGATAGAGGGGGAATAGAAAGAAAGCCTACACTACAACTCCATAAAAGAATGGTCACTGTGAGAATTCGTTACAATTTCAATTTTCTTTACCAGAGAAAACAATTTATAGCTTTTAAATGCATATAGCTCAAAAGAGAAAAGCAGTACTTCAAGTGCCAGATGATTAGAGCCTTGGAATTTTCAACTTTAACCAGTGAAAATAACTGTGATGCTTTTGAATCAAAAGTTTAAAAAAACCGTATGAAATCTGAGATGAAAAGTTCACAGTTATCACATTTGAATTAGGTACATACAATATGTAAGTGCACGTTAGAAATGGATACTTTTCACAGGGCTTTATATTGCTATTTTCTAACCCTTTCTTACCAAGTTCTGGTAGTGCTTAGAAAGAACTATGAATATTATTAAAATGTTTATTTTATTGAACCATGAAATTTAACTTTGGTTTCCACTTGGGACTTTCCCATATGTGTATCACTTGTGAAAAATTTTAAATTGAAAGAAAAAATCAAAGAGTTACTAGATTGGTAACAAAATAATCATAATGTATGATTTATGGATTCTTCATATTTGAAGTCAACTTACATGGGAAACTATGAAACCAAGAAAAACTATTACATGGTAAGGAAGAGACTTATTAATGCATATAGCATGTACATTTCTACCGTTTCTGGGGAGAGTCAATAATCATTCTGCATAGCAATATTGCTGCCCTTATTTCTTTGAAGGAAAATAATTGTTTAAACAAATTTCAAGCTTAACTTTTAAATTTTTTCTGGTTTCACATGTTCTTAAGTATCTAGAATATTTTATACTTTTGACTGTGGTTGAGGAGATACATATTTTGGGGCCAATATTTAGGATGTAACTGTAAATAACTAAGTCTATCTTTTTAGAATTGCATTAATTTATTGTCTAATTAGTTTAAGAGTAATGACGAATAAAGTTTCAATAAACATTAGTCAACACATATGATACTTAAATTATTTAAACCAATCCATCAAATGTTTAAAATGAGTGTACACGTGCAAGTGTGTTTGTGTGTGTAGATAGGCACATAGCCTCTTAAAATGTAAGTGAAGTTTGTGTGTGTTTTCATGCTTAAAAACATGAATTTATAAGCAAACGTCTCTTGGCTCATGGAATTAGCAGCTATCTAGGCAATTGAAATTGATCAAAATTATGTAGAGCAATAGTAAAAGATCATTGAATTTGGGACACAGACAGGGAACTGTTTATATACCAGATATTGGACATGTGATATGTTAGGATGTCAAGGTTACTTCGGAAATCATCGCAGAAGAGGTGTCTGAGTACAACGAGATGTTCAGAACTGCTGTAGTCTCTATGTGTAGTTAGACATTCCTTACTACCATGTGCCCATCTGTTAAGTGAGTCTGATAGTAGTACAGGTGATGGGTGGGATCTGCTATAGGAGATGTGCATCCATTACATAAGCATGGCTCTCACTCATTATGGGCTTAGATTATCTCTGTGGAGTTCATTCTGAGATATTCGAGCTGTTGTCTGATGCCAGTCTCTGTAGTCAATCACTTCCAGAGAAGAGGGTGCTCACTGCTGGAGTAAGAAGTCCTTTGTTTTCTAATTGGGTATTTGTCACAGAATATGAAAACATGGGGTATGAAGGGAAGATTTTCAGAGCTAGGTGAATTATTTTATGTTCTTTTCCAAGTCATATATTAGCATATCATTTTTTTGTGTTATTTTCTGCTTTCGTTGCAGCAGTTTTAACAGAAGTATCTGTGGGCACGAATATGTCAACTTAAACTACACTATACTGGGACTTGAGTTGAAAAATATAGGCACGTGTTTTAGTTCACTTTTAATTCTTAAGGAAAAATTTATGAGAACATCTAGATATTTTAGGAATGATTGATAGGATTTTATTTCACATTTTTTCCCCAAAGGACCGCAATTGTTTTATGAATAAAACAAAGAGAATAGATTGGGAATCAGCAATTGAGAATAGTGGTTATCTCTTATGACATCATGAGATAGCAACAGACTTTTTTTGTTTTGTTTTTTTGATGCTGCTATTCTTAGAAGTTGTAAAAGCCTAACAAAAGCTAAAAAGGCACCCGATGTGCAAGAGCTGGATAGGGTGTAACTTAACACGGGCTCAGGTAAGAAGCTGCCATGCATTACTAATGAGTGACTCAGCCAAAGGGTTGCCTGCAAGTTCTAAAGCTTCAGATGCTGTATGTAGTTAGAAAGACTAGAATTCTTTTTTGAATTACTTTATTACAAAGCTGTATTTAAAGAAATTATTGCACTCTACAAATATACACACTTCTAAAATGCCATCAGAGTAAAGATAAAAAATTTGGTTGCATTTCAGGGAGAAAGGCTACACTGAAATGAACATTGTGAGAAAACTCAATTTAATGATACCTTGGAGTATACTCTTGCTTCAAATACTGCTGTTTTCATTACAAGGTAAGGACTTAAATTCTTCCCTTATTTTATTGTATTGTAGTCTCTCTTACAACTAATATGAATAGTTTGTCCTTATACTGTAAAGCACTTCGAAGTCATTAGAATGGATATGTAATGAATGAAACCCAGATCATCTTTTTGAAAATTCTTAATAATGTAGATAATTGGGACTTCAAGTTTTTATTTTTGGAGTTTTTTCTTCACAAGTTAAAATCATGCTTTTATGATGATGTGCAACTAAGAGCTCTGAGTCTAACTTTTTCCCTTCTAAAAGCTGATTTAAAACAGTTGTGTAATTTAAACATCTGAAATTGTATAATAAATAAACTGAAATCAAGTACTTAAAATTTCTTCATGCCCCAACCCAAAGAATGGGAAAAAGAGTGTTTTAAGAAGGACTGTAACATTTGGGGCTAAGGATTAACTTTCAATTATCTTTATAGAAATTTTATTTACAAATTAATTTTTACAAAATATTTTTATGGGGTAAGCATTTATTTATATTCAGCTGTTAGTTTTTAATCCCTGCAAAGGGGTATGTATTTTGGAAATTATAGGTGAAGTGGGAGAAATTATCGAAGTGTAGAAGACTAGAAAGTTCATAGACAGTATCTTGCAATCCTAATAATTCCTGAAACTCCAAGGGGAAAATGCCATAGAGCATTGAGACCTGGAGGGGACTTTGGAGATGAACTTCGCCAACACCATCCTCTTTTGATGTATTTGATAGCTTGCTTATCTTGGCATTTACTAAATGGCAGGACCAGGACTAAAACTTAAATCTCTGACTTCTACTGTATTATGTCTCTGTAGTCTGGGTATATGCTCCTTCTTTCTGGATTATCAGCACTCTGATATCTCATAGGGAATTTGCTGGGCAAAAATCATCTAGAAAATATGAAATAGCTAAGAGCAGACCTGAATCTAAGTTTTAGAGTTCAGATTAATCTGTTTAATAACCAGAACATGGGCCCAAGATATTTGGATATATTTTTTCATTCTCACATATATACTTATTTATCTCTGGCAGGATATATTTGTGTATCATCAGTCTTGAAGGCAAGATCAGAGTGAGTATTTCTTACTATTTATGTCCTCTAAAACATAAAGTCAATGTGAATGAGCAAATCTCAGCAGATAACTGTATCTGCCTTTGAAAAAAATAAATGAAATATTTAAAAAATAAGGGCATGAGATGCCCATGAATTAAAAATTAGCAGACATTCAGTTCTTTATTTACTAAGAAAATATGTTTCCTTTCACTTTAATTATAAGAGCTTTTGGTGGGGTTCAATAACCGTAGTGCTAGGGAGATACTACTTCCACTTCAAAGATTTGGAAGAAGTTATACTCAGCAATTTCCCCTTTTATTATTATTATTATTATTATTATTATTATTATTATTATATATTGTTACTTATTAATGTGCTGTATCTTAACATAAGGTAAAACAGTTTTTAATGGTAAAAAGAATAAAATTGTTCTAGCACTGAATAATGAAAATCATTTTTTGGACTAAACTGATGAGTTTAATGAAATGCAGAATTCTATTCACCATTTGATTTTGATAAACCAAAGTGGGGTATGCTTACTTACATTAATCTGCCCTTTATGACATGGAAAGAGAGAGAATTAAGCATCATGTTTGAAAAAAGTGAATGTGCTCTTGATGTGTTCTTATCACACCAATTTCATGAAGTCAGTGGAGAAAATATGGTGCATGTTGGTGCAACAATATTACACTATTTTGTTTATTTCTCTGTCTGAAGTTCCTTCCTAAAATTCAGTTTACATCAGGGACTGGAGAGATCTGGAGACCCTCCGGAATTTTGTAAAATGAGACAGCGCCATCACCCTAATCTAACTCCTTCAAAAGGGGGAGGGGAACCTTTTAAATGTTAAGCCAAGAAAGACCTCTTTGATAAAGTGATGGAAATCAGGAGGAAAACACCAGCTCTCTCCTGGGAAAGGCTTGTTCAGGTTGCCTAGGGGCCTTTGACTATACAAGTTCTTTTTGTTTTCTTCCAGAAACAGGTTTAATGAAAATCAACAGAAAAGAGCTCTTTTAGCGGCCCAGGTAGGTTATGCCTCAGATGGAGAGAGGCAGAGAAATGATCCGCTCTGTTCGGGCTTCTGCTGTCACTCCAACAAGAGGTCTTTGTGGAGGGAATGAAATGCTGAGAACGAGGAGGAAGGAGCAGGAAGAGGCCGAGAAGCTTCTCTACTGCTTCTCTTCTGCTTCTCCACGACCCTCAGCTTCATGCTTAGTTCACGTTACTTGCTGGTGGTCAAATGCTTCCCTGCTATTAACCTCGGTTACCTACTGATAGGCTCCCAGTACTGGTGGGAGATTTCATCTCATCTACTTCCTAGAAAATTTTAATTGCTTTAAAAAAGAATCACAATACCAGGACAAAGACAAGAGAACAAAAACAAGCAAATAGGGCAGAGAAAGGTGCAAAGGTGCAAGTGATCCGAGTTAAGTGCTGCAAAGGGCATCAGAAGTGTCCTGGTGTCCTAACAGGCAGCTTTTAGGTTGTCTGGTAAATCTAAATTACAGTCACTTCGGGACAGGTAACCCTATTATTATTGTTTTTGTTTTGTTTTGTTTCTTTGGAGGGCTAGGGAAGTACTGAATTTGAGGAGGTCTCTTAGCCTGGGGCCCTTTATATAAAGGACATTGGATAACATAATTGCAACATCTCCAAACTATGCTTGGAATGTTCCAGTGGGTGGGTTTTAAAAATATTTCTCTATGAAAGATGGATGGTAAAATGAAAAATCCTAATGTAAAAGTGTTTCTTCGGAAAGTGATATGATTTGTGTATTTATATAGCAAACAGCTTATAAATTCAAGGAGGCCTTTGTCAAATGCTGATTGCAATCAATTTCTACCAGTTTTTTCTGGTAAATGCCTGAAATTTTGTAATTTTTGGTTTTAATTAAAGAGAAGTGAAGACAGATTTGATATGATGCTTTGACAATGTACAAGACACAACTGATTTATCCTTGTCTAGAATGGAGATCATTTTTTGTACTAGAAGAGGAAAAAGATAGTCTATGGAACTGAAATACTTCTTTTTCCTTAGAAAGTGTTCTCTGTACGTAAGTATGTATGTATCATGTGAAGTGGTTGAAATGATTCTTTGAGAACTTTTAAGTACATTTTTGCCAGAAGGCCATATTAACCACAGAAGGACAACATGACTCAGAGGAAAATCCGATTTTGAGAAAACTGTATTTTGGTGAACCCACTAGATTGAAGAACCTATGAAACATACCCCAAAATTGTCACATAAAGTGACCTGTGGATGAGGTTATACTCTTGTTCATTTAGATGTTTTTAGAATTTTGTGTAATTTACCTCAAAGGAGTGATGTGACCACCTCCCTTTGTTAATAAGTGGGAAACACACTTACCTTCTCTTGATTACCCTTTTAGAGAAAATGAAGTACATGACACTTGTCCTACTTTCCATAATTAGAAAACGTGCATCAGTATTATTGAATATCTGAACAGGTTTGAAAAGAAGAAATGTTAAAGAAGGGCAGTGAGGTTATAATCATGCATCACGCTGTTTAGGATTGAAACTTCATCTGTTATGAGGGCATTTTTATCCAGAGGTTCATTCCCCTGCTCTAGGATGACAGAACACTGGTGGTTAGATACATCTGTGCAGGGATGGATTCAGACATATGTTGAGTGTGAGAAGAACAATGAGCAAAGGAAGACTAGATACAGACTTCTATTAATGTTGTGTTTGCGTGCTGCAGTGATTTCTCACCTAAAAACTGCTTCTCTGTGCTTCTCGGCCTCCTGTGGAGATTTAATAAGCAAGGAGGAAGAATGGCGGCCCTCTTTTCTCATTCATGTGAATATACGCACCCACTACTCGAATATTTTTGCATTGTTATTACATTTCAAAATTATTCTCCTGAAAGCGGCTGCTGAGGCGGTCTTAGGTGCAGGGAGATAATCTGGGAAGTGCACAAGTGAAGGAGAGAGGGAAGTGAACTGAGGAAGGGAGGAAGCCCAGCACAGTGTGTTAACAGGGTGCTCCTGCCCTAGGCAGCTGTGGCTCAGCCTCGTGAGGGGCGCTCTGAGGAGCCATGTAGAAGGTGTAGAATTTTTTTCCAAGGGATGAGGGAAGCAGAGGCATTCATCCACCAACAGGATCCTGCCTCTCTCTTTTGGTGGAGGGTGGTCTCTGGGGAATGTAGATTCAGAGGAAGGTGCTTCCTGTGCTCTGTTCTGGTTCGATTCTGCCCACAGGCAGAGGCAGAAAGGAGCCAGAGCTTGAAGCTGGAGGTGTCCATGCACACAGAACCCAGATGCACATGGGGTCCGAGGTGGGCTGGGAGGGTGTGGAAAGACGCATCAACAGAATCCTTTATAGTCATGCTCCCAAACAGGCTTGGGAGGCAAATTGTTTTGCTTTGACTATCCCCAGGTCTGTTGGTCTTTGTGGACGACATATGAGGGACCCTGTTAGAGAAGAAGCATGACTAGCGGTGTTTGTTATCTAGAAACTTGATGTCTAGTGAAGGCAGGATGTAAAGAAGTCAGGTCTGTGTAACTTGTCCATTGAATCTTTGTCATTTTAAATATGACAAAAAATAGAGGTGCTTCTAATTGTAAATGTAAGATACCATTCTGAGTTCAGATATGTTAAAAAAGTAAACCTATGTGCCATATCACCAATATATGTTTGTATATTGTCATATGATGATATATTGTCATGGTGAAATATTGTCACACGATACACGGAACACTGTAGTAATTCAGATGCTGTGGTAACTGGGTGGCTGGTGAGCTAAGAAGTCATTGTAATTTCCATGGAGGATGTGTAGCCTGAGTTGGGTGAGAGGATATAGGACAAAAAGCAAGTCATACATTCTTGCCTTGGTTTAGTGTTGTACAGTGTATTCAGTTTTTGCCTAAGAATAAAAATAGGTAACATGTTGGCAACCCTTCGGTGCCTGGCACTGCTCTTTGTGCCTTCCCCCATTTCTTTTCATCCTCACAATTCTGGGAGGAATCTGCTGTTGTCCCATTTAATAGGCTGGGAAACTGAGGCCGAGCAGGTTAATTTGTTCACTGTTATAAGCTTGTATGAGACAAGAGGCGAAGTCACTGTACACGACCAGGGAGCGTCACAGACAATTCACTGGAGCTGAAGGAAGGAGGCTGGCGTCTCCACCGTAGGGTAGCTGTGCTGGGTTCCACAGCTGGAAACAGAGAATAAGATGCTGTGCAGGGGAAGCAAGGTCATAGACGGTTGTTAGTCTAACTTAGTTTGAGACAGGGAGAAGGATACAAAGAGCAGATTGAGTGGTGAGGTAATACCCAGGAGGAAGGGGAGTGGAAACAATGAACTCGGAGCCACAGTGCGGGGCACGAGGTCAGGAAGGGGTGCCGAAGTGATGAAAGAGCCTTTTAGCTAGCATGGGGCAGGCAGCTTTGCTTGTTAAAAAAAAAGCTTTGCTGAAAAACTAAAATAAAATTCTACCTGTAGGAAGGAGGCCATAACCTGCTGAGAGAGGACTTTGCAGCAGGATCATGCTCTCTGTCCCCAGTTCTTCTTACCCTTTGCAGCTTTTTGAGCATCATCTGGTACTCATTTGGACCATGATGGAGCATGAACCAAAAATGCTGTGGGAAAGGACATTGTTCCAGGCAGCAAAATTACCATTCAGTCGGCATAAAAATCCATAACTGATTAGTTTTAGTAATCCATAATTACTTGCTACTGAGCCATTTTGACCTCTTAAAAATCCAGAGGCTTTATCTGGACTGTTTAGATTCATATAATGCTCTTTATTGCTAACTTTCTATGTGTGAGGCACTATGTGGGAATCTTTACATAAATTTTTTTATTGAAGTATAATTGATATACAATCATATATTGGTTTCAAGTACACACACAGTGGTTCAAAGTTCCCACATTATTAAATCCTCACCCCAACCAGTGTAGTTACCACTGTCAACATAGGAAGCTGTTACAGGATCATTGGCTGTATTCTCCATGCTGTAGTACCATCCCTGTGACCAACTTATATTATGATTGATAATTTCTGTCCCTCTTTATCCCCTGCACCCTCCCCACCAACCCACCACAACTCCTTCTCCATAGAGTTTATGCAAAGATTAGACTTCAACTTCTCCATAGTAACCACCAGTCATTTCTCAGTGTCTATGAGTCTACTGCTGGTTTGTTCATTTTGTTTTGCTTTGTTTTTATATTCCACGAAGAAGTGAAATTGAATAGTATTTTGTCTTTCTCTGCCTGGCTTATTTCACATAACATAATACCTTCTAGCTCCATCCATCCATGTTGTGCAAATGGCAAGATTTCTTTCTTTTCATGGCTGAGTAATACTCCACTGTGTATATGTACCACATCTTCTTCATCCATTCATCTATTGATGGACATATCAGTTGCTTCCATATCTTGGCTATTGTAAATAATGTGGCAATAAACATAGGGGTTTATATATTCAAATTGGAGATTTTGTTTCCTTTGGGTAATATCCTAGAGGTGGGAATTACTGGGTATTATGGTATTTGTATTTCAGCTTTATGAGAAACCTCTGTACTGCTTTCCACAGTGGCTGGACCAACTTACATTCCCACCAACAGTGTAGGAGGGTCCCCTTTTCTCCACATCCTTGCTGACACTTGTCATTTCTTGCCTTTTGGATAGTAGCCACTCTGACTGGTATGAGGGTGGTTTGCATTACCCTGATAATTAGTGATGTGGAGCATCTTTTCATGTGCCTGTTGACCACCTGTATTTCTTTGGAAAAATGTCTGTTCAGGTGCCCTTCACCCTGCCCCATTTTTTAATTGGGTTATTTGCTTTTTTAGTATTGAGTTGTATGAGTTCTTAATATATTTTGGATGTTAACCCCTTATCAGATGAATCATTTACAAATATATTCTCCCATACTGTCAGTTGCCTTTCTGCTTATGATTTCCTTTGCTGTACAGAGCTTTTTAGTTTGATGTAATCCTACTTGTTCATTTTTGCCTTTGTTTCCCTTGCCCAAGGAGATGTGTCTAGAAGAAAATTGCTGATGCTTCTGTTCAAGAGATTTTGCCTATGTTTTCTTCTGAGAGTTTTATGGTTTCATGTACTATATTTAGGCCTTTAATCCATTCTGAGTTTACTTTTGTGTATGGAGTTAGACAATAATCCAGTTTTACTCTCTTGCCTGAAGCTGTCCAGTTTTCCCAACGATAGTTATTGAAGAGGCTGTCTTTTCCCCATTGTATATTCATGACTCCTTTATCATATATTAATTGACCATATATGTGTGGGTTTATATCTGGGTTCTCTATTCTGTCCCATTGTTCTTGTGCTAGCACCATACTGTCCTGATTACTGTAATTTTGTAGTATAGCTTGAGTCAAGGAGTGTAATGACCCCAGCTTTGTTCTTCTCTCTCAGGATTGCTTTGGCTACTTGGAGTCTTCTATGGTTCTATATGAATTTTAGGATTATTTGCTCTAGTTCATTGAAAAATGCAATTGGTATTTTGATAGAGATTGCATTGAATCTGTAATTGCTTTGGGTTGGATAGCCATTTTGACAACTAAGACAATTAAAACAACTAAAACAATTGTTTTAGTTTACTATTATAACTGCACAATGAAGTTGGTATCATTGTTCCTGTTTTACATGTAAGTAAAAGTAGGCACCAAGAGATTAGGAAACTTGCTTACAGAACAGCAGAATCAGGGCCCTATTCCAGGTCTGTCTGGTTCTATAATTCAAGCTCTTACTGTTACCTTAAAGTACCTTGTGTCTACAGTATATTTAAGTGCTGTACGAACTTGAAAGTATCAGCTCTTTGGAGGCTGAGGGTGACACATGCTTAACAGAACTCGTGTGGATGGCATCTTCACAGGGGTCTACAGATAGTGAGGAGTCATTGTCTCTTGGCCCATCAGTCCCATACATTTTCTCCAGACACATCTGCACTTGGAAGTAGCAGAGAGCTGCTAGAACGGCAGTCAGAACAGTATATGGTAGGGTTTATGCAAAGATTAGACTTCAACCAGGCTCTTTGGAAAAGAGGAAAAGAACAGGTCAGAAAGGATAAATGGCTTGTCAAAGTCATGTAAGAGAGAAAACCAAACCTTGACATCAGATCTTCTAACCACAACCTCAGAGGATCCCTTTCTGCCTCATCAAAATTGCCTCAATAGCCCAAGGAAATATAAAGTCAGTACTTTGTAATTTCTATATTTGTTGTTATTTTCCAGACTTTCTAATTTACATGTTTGACTAATTAAATAATTTAATTCTTACTCCTTTCTTTCAAAGTCTGAATCCACTTCTCCAAGATATTTCTTCCATGAAGCTATTAATTGGGGTGAGAGCAAAATAAAAGGTCAGTGCTAAATTTGATTTCTTGTATTTCCCTTCTCAAAAGACCCCTTTTGGGGATATATTGAATCACCTCTTTACTATTTCTGCGAAATGCATAGAGGAAACTGAGCCATGGTGGTAATGATATTTAGTAATAGTTAAATTTACTTCAATATTGAAATTTGAGTTATTTTTGGAAATAAGTAGAGTTAAACAGACAAAACTGGTAACTTCATGACCAGAAAGGATACCACTGGGGATCATAAACTTTTTCTGAATCATATATTTGTTCTTTGTTTCCTTGACATCCCTGTTTTTGCTTACCAATTTTCCATTTCCATTAAGCAGAATGCTAGTAATAGCTTGAAACTTAATTGTTTTGTTGTGTTTAAAATAAAAGTGATTCCTGACTAGTTTTGGCTTGATATTTATTTTCAGGAGAATAAGCAGGGCTGAATATAAATTTTGCAAGGTGATACATTTGTTTATCTAAATATTTAGACATTTATTCATTGGAGAAATGCATATTTATAATCTAAGATAAAATTTAAAGATTGATATGCCTCTAGGGGGAAAACTACATTTAAGCTTTGAAATTATGAAAAACATAATTTTTTACCTACATGTGTGATCAAAGATGAAACAGCTTATTTTTCCTCAGTTAAGGTATACTTAGAGAGTTGTAGGTTTTTAAATGTAGAAAAACATTTCAGATCAATAGATCTTAAAGTGGAAGAATAATAGTTTTCTAATTCTTGCCTGTGACAGAACTGTAGTTAAATTATTGCAGTTGGGTAACTGCCTTCCATGATAATAAAAATTTCAGAGGTGCAGTCTTTACTAATTCTTTGCAGTGACTCAAAGGTATCTTCTAGATCTTTCGATATATTACTTAAATCTTTCCTGTTTGAGTTTTGCTATTTGCATCTTGTCCTCTCCTTATTAGAGGAAATTTTTCACTGTGATTCATTTGAGTTTCTAAAACTCACTCAGGAGCTTGCTTCCTCTTTTCAATATAATCCTTGGGGATGATTTTTCTTTCCATGAAAGAAAGAATATTTTTGGTGATGTCCAGCCATGAGTGGTTTCTGCCCCATTAAAATCAAGTATGAGTCAGAAAGAATTCTTCATTTCTGATTAAGCCTGAGGATTAATTAATACACAAACTTCAAATGAAATGTTTAATTATTCTCTTCAAATATGGAGTTGCCTTTTGAGTTTTGTATTTTGCCTGATCCCTCAAGTTAATGATGGACGCTATTCTTTCATACAACACTTGCTCCTGGAGGAGCAGATTGGACGTGAAGTGGGTGCCAAACTCCGTCGACGAAATCATCTGCAGCATGTGTATTTCTGGTTCTCATCATCTGGGACAGGGATTCCTTACATGGGAACTTGACCTTTCCATTGCTTGAAGGAGGGTAACCTTTGCTCTCAGAGTATTTAAAATGTGAAAGCCTGTCTTTCTTGTTTCACAGCACACATAATGAAATGAACTAGATAGAGACCTGATAGGCCTAATTCTTTAGCTCATCAGGGCAAAAGGCCCAGGGTTGTGTGAGTTAATAATGGTTACAGCTAGTCTAAGCTAAATCTTGACATACTGTTTATAAGAACTGATGCACGCCAGAAGATAACTTATTTTTTGCCCTTCAGGTTCTTGTCCTCATGAATGCCTTAATGGGGCTTTCTGTTCTAAGACTGGTATGTGTGACTGTCAGATATTTCAGGCACTTGGGACAAGGTGCCAGATTGGTAAGTTTCAGGGATACTTGAGAGACTATGAGAAGCTGAGAACAGTAAAATATAAGTTGCTATACTAAAGTTTATCCATTGGGAGCTGGTACAATCATAGACTATGTAACTAGAATGTCCACGATTCATTCTAAGTGATGTAGAAATAATGTAAAAGAAAACAGATATGCCCACTTCCCCTTCTCTCTGATTGCTACTATTTCCTCAAGTATTTTTTAGACTTTAAATGGTACTAGCCCATTAAAACCAGGTTCTCATTCATCTCTCTTTTGCTTTATAAATTAGATTTGTTTTTTGGAGCCACTCATTCTTTTTGACTTTGAATTAATTGGAATTCTGTACATAAAATAGAAATAGTTTTGAGAGCTCTTCAAAGGTAGAGGGTACATAAAAATATTTTTATTCACAGTGTCTAGGACAGGATCCCATGTCAATAATGATCAATAACTATTCATTTGTTTAATGAGTGTTTATGGAGCATCTGCCAAGCTAGGCACTGGGGGTACAATAGTGAGTAATAAAGACATGTTCTTGCCCTCCTGGAGGTGCAGTGCCCCTGAGGAGAGAACCGACATGCAATGCATACACATTAATCATGACATGTGCTATAAAGGAAAGTATAAGATTTTATGAAAATATGCCACAGAAGGAAGGCATACTGCCAGAGAAGGCTGCCTGCATAATGAATCATTGTTTTTTTTCCAAAAAGGCCAAAGTTCACCGAGGCTAACACATTTAGGCAAAAATTACAAAAAGACAAGATACTATTGTGCCTTATCTTAATGCTCCCTATACAATGTATTAAAATGTTTTATACATATTAAGTGTTCAGTGTCATTGATTCTCATATTATTCTAAACAAAAGGGTCTAAAAAACCAAATAGATACAGGCCTATCCACAAGGGTAAGAAGAGGGGGTGGGCATGAAGACAACAGAAGATGAAGTCATGTGATTTAGGGCACACATTGCTTGAAATCTGGCTGGTTTGAGGTCATGAATTCCTAAATTCCAGCATACTTTGGATGACAAATGCTCCCCACCCCAAGGTCCAGATACATAAACATGAATTTTTTGTTGGGGGTTATTTTTCTGTATGGTTACTGTTAAGATATTTTTGATAGAATTTCAGAGACTGAAACATTGTAATGTTGACTATATAAATTTTTAGGATAATCAGTGGTGACATTTCTTTATTTTCTAAGCCATTGTATTTGTTTATCACTACTACCTTCTTTTAGTGGATCATTTTCCCTACTCTTCCCTTCAAAGAGTCTCTCTTTGGAAGCAGAAATTAAGTAAGTTTCTAACTTAAATCTTTTCTTCCAAACAACTTGGAGACCATGTTTTTCTTCAGGGGAGTTTAATAGTTTTGAGAGCAGTTAGTAATTTTATGTTAGTTATTTCTTCCTGTGATATTCACCACCAAAGAAGAAAATATTTATTTTAATGAAAATTAGAGTCACCAACCATGACTGAACCTTGCCAGAGACAGTTGTAATTTATTTTTTACTACTAAATATTATCTTATTTATTTTCAGTGCCAAACATGGGCAATGGCAGAGATGGGATTTGCAAAACCTGGGGACAGTACCACTTTGAAACGTTTGATGGCATCTACTACTATTTCCCAGGAAACTGTTCTTACATTTTTGCAAAGGACTGTAGTAATTTGGAGCCTCGGTATACTGTATGGGTACGTGATCCTAGGGCATAATTAACTTAAAATATTTTTGGTGAAGTCTGTATTTTAAAGTGGATTCTGGATACATGATGAAAAATGTATAATGATCATAGTGTGAATACTTAGGGCCCTGACTAGGGAAGAGGGGTTAGTGCTTCATGGGAGGAATAAAATTTGCTGCTATATTGAGTATAGTTCTACTGAGATGGGGCCTAGGACTGGGAGAAAAAAGTTTGGATCCACGTAGAAGGGACTTACAGGCAGCGTGGAAATGTCTATCTCATGTATGTCATAATATCAGCTCCAGATGATATCCCCGATCTTCAGGTTTTATTCCAACATTTTGAAGAGGGGTAGGTTCAGGCACCAAACTTATGACTCCCACAGGTTTCCTTCTTGACAATCCAGTGTGATGACCACCTGGATTATTGTTTTCAAGTGGCATCCCTCAGTATGACCTGGAGGCTGGCGTTTATGGAGTACGTAAGCACAAGGTAGACGACACCAAGACAGGCAGCTAGTGGTGAGGTGGACTGATGCTGTCTGATTCAGGTCAGAGAGTTAGCTTTTAGTTGAAGATTTCTTGATTCAAAAGAGTTCTTAAGAGATACCTGAAAATGCAGGCTGCAGAATGGCTTCACCCTCAACTGGAAGAAAAGTCAGGCACCTCTCTCCCCACTCATGCTCATCCTCTGGATTTCCCGGTGTCCCAAAGCACAGCCAGAAAACTGTGGTGCTATCTTGTTCAAAAGCTAGAATTCTCCATAGCCATCATTTATTTGACAATTTGTTCTAATTTTTCCTTCTAATTTACACTGGAGTTGCTTAAATTCCCCTCTTCTTCTAGGGGTTGCAGAAATTTAAAGTAGGCGCTGAGCTTTTGAAGAGTGACAAATCCTGTGGCCCAGAAAGGAAATGAGGTCTATTGAAATCAACTGATGGGGCACAAGGATTAAAAAGTAGAGCTCTCCTTAGCTAGGGAGGTAGTGAGACGCATCTTTAGTGCCTACAGGGTTCCTGTTTTCAGGCACACATTGTCCTTTACGCCTCCAGTCTCTTGCTGGGTTTATCACTCGAACACCTTCTGACTCCCTCATTGAAATGTTCTTGTCAAGAGTCTAACCCTTGTGAGGACTAATCTGTCAACTAACTAGATAATCTCTCCTTTGATAATAACACACAATGCTCAACTGTGCTTCCAGAGTTAATAGATATTGTTTCTACCGGGCCCTGTTTCAGCGGGTGGAATTTTCTTTCAAGTAAATAACTTCATTTATTTTAAATGTCATCTTACTCCTGATTGTAGAAAGAGTTCACTGCTTTTGTAAAAATCTGAAAAAGTCAGAGAAGACTAAAAAATGATATTAGAATTATCAGCCAAGAGTTACCATTTCTAATGGCTTCACATATTTCCTTCTACACTTTTTCCTCTGGATTTTACAGACATTATAATATTGAAATCATATTATCTATAACTTTCTATCTTAGAGTTTCACCTAACATTATACCAAGAACTTTCCTCTATTTCAGTAATTTTGACAAACACAAATTTTGTAGGCTGTATTTGTTCCAACTGAGAGAATTCTCAAATCATTTAAGTAAGTCCTGTTTTAGAAATTTGATTTGAAAAAATATTTCCAGAGACAATTGATAAACAGCTTTATGCACATATCCTTTTTTATAGTCCTGATTATTTTCATTTTCTTCTTTAAATTCAGTTTTATTTTTATAAAAGTAATACTTGCACATAGTTTAAAAAATTTCATCAAGGCATATGAAGCAAAAAAATAGCCCTGCTTTCCTTCATTCCCCAACCACAGGTAAAGTCTGGCTCCCCAAAGGAAAATACTTCAACTTTTTAAGCTGTTTCTTCTGGCTTTTATCTTACCTGCAAAAATATGCTATTATTTCTTTATTTTTCCAAGTTAGGGCTTTTTGTTCACTTCCTGCTACGGTGAATGGAGTTATCTCATTTATATTATCCTTCTTACTCCTAACAGACGTAGAGACATGCACACTCTCCTTTCCATCTCCTAATAGAGTTATATCACCATTTTAGGTTTTTACATTATTGTTGTTTGTGTATTACACATGCATGAATAAAACTCATGTAAGCATTGTTTAGAGCTGGTTATTATGATTCTCTGTACATTTCTATAGCATTAACAGTTATCCCATTTTTTGTTTGCTGCGTTTTCTTCACTCTAATCATTGATTATTTTCTTCCAAACTCTCTGTCTGTATAACATTCTTCTCAACAGGGGCAGATACTTCAGGCAATCCCTCAGTTTCTCATTCCTGCCTGAGGGGTCCCTCCCTTGGTTCTCTGTTCTCCTGCCCCACCCGCGACTGGTTGCCTCCAAGGCTGCCGTATACCTGGCACCTGGGGTTTCTCTTCACTCTCCTCCTGGACAATCTCACTTTTCTGTCTTCTCTACTGGTTTTCCTGTTTCTTGGGCCCCATGAAGTGCCTAGTGATCTTTGAACTTTGTTTATACTTAAGAGATAGGTTCCAAAAAGAGTACTGGATGCTTCAAACGTGTAAAAACCATATTGGATGCTTCAAACACGTGGATGGATCTGTTGCAGTGGTGACTGGGCAGGAACCCATTTGTTCTTGACTCACCTTGTTTTAATTGACTCTATTTTCAAGTTGCTTTCTGGAAAGGATGATACTTACCTGGAAAGTACACTGAGTAGTGAAAAATTTGCAACCTTCATTATAATTTGGAAATCATGTTCAGAATTTTGAAATTCAATCCATTCTGATTTGTCTTCATTTTGCACATGACCTTTTCCCTTGCCCCCAGAAATTTTTACATCTTCTTTTCTTTATCCCCAGCATTCTGAGATTTCATAATTATGGAAGGATTTCTTTTTTTCTTTGATTTATTGTGCTGAGCCCTTGATAGGCCCTTTCAAGCTTACAAATCCCTCAGTTTTAAAAAAAACATTTCTTTCTTTTCTCTTCTTTCAGAATTTACACTCCTTTCTTCCAGAAATTCTCTTATTTAGATATGGGAGCTCCTAAACTGAGCAGTCGATTGCCAAATTTTTTCTTATTGTTTTTCCTCTATTTTCCATCTTTCTGCTTTTTTGTTGTATGTTTTGGGAGATTTCTTTCCAACACTGAGATGTTTATGTTCCAACCATTTTATTTCAGTTATAAATTTACCCAGTCATATCATCAATATCTAACTATTTTTATTCATTGAACTTCCTTTTAGCAAGATTTAATTCTTGTTTCATGAATGGCAACTACTCACTTTTCTCTTTGAGGTGTCGGTTATGAATCTTTGGAATTTTATTTCTTCTTCCTGTCTTTCATGTCATAGTCTTTTATCACATGATCCATGAATGTTTATTCACAATTGGGAATTAAGTTCTAATAGCTGCTGGGAAGCTCTGAATATATATATGCCTGGGGGCTTGCTTACTCAGTGGGGGATTAAGCCGGGAGCCTCTGGTTTCATTAGATAAGCCCCAAATATGAGTACGTGTATGTCTTTTTTCCTTTTTATTTCTCCAAAAAAGAATCCTGCAGCATCCTGCTTGGAATCAGATACCTGCATTCCTGGATGCTGAAGACATCCTAGGCACAGCCCTACTTCAGACTTTTGCATGTGCTGTTCCCTTTACTTAGAATGCTCTTCTAAATATCTATATCTTATACCTCCTTCGTCTTTACTAGAATTCCCTTGTCAATGAGGCTTCTATTGTTCCACTTGATCTAATATTGACCCCAGTTGCCTCTTCAGACTCTCTGTCCTCTTTCTTTGCCTGTGCTTCCCCTTCCTGTCATCTAGCATGGTAAATATTTTAGTTACATTTAGTTATATTTTTTTATTAATTGTTTTCCTCTAATGTAATATAAGGTTCATGAGGACAAGTATTTTTTTACTGAAGTATTGTTTATATACAATCTTATATTGGTTTCAAATGTACAACACAGTGGCTCAATGGTTACCCATATCATTAAATCCTCACCCCAGCTAGTGCAGTTGCTGTGTCAACACAGGAAGATGTTACAGAACCATTGGCTATATTCTCCATGCTGTACTACCGTTCCTGTGACCAACTTATATTGTGATTGTAAATTATTGTGCCCCTGTATCCCTCTTACCTTCCCCCACACATGCCCCAACCCCTCCTCTTTGATAACCTCTAGTCACTTCTCAGTGTCTATGAGTCTATGGCTATTTTGTTACTTCCGTTTTGCTTTGTTTTTATACTGTATAAATAAGTGAAATCATTTATCTTTCTCTGCCTGGCTTATTTCACTTAGCATAATATGCTCTAGATCCATCCATCTTGTTGCAAATGGTAGGATTTCTTTTCATTTTAATGGCTACATAGTATTTCACTGTGTATATGTACCACATCTTCTTTATCCAGGCATCTATCGATGGACACTTAGGTTGCTTCCATATCTTGGCTATTGCAAATAGTGTGCTGATAAACATAGGAGATCCTATATCTTTTCAAATCAGAGATCTTGTTTTCTTCTGGTAAATTCCTAGAAGTGGAATTACTAAATTGAATGGCATTTCTATTATTAGCTTTTTGAGGAACCTCCATACTGCTTTCCACAGCGGTTGCACCAATTTGCATTCCCACCAACAATGTAGGAGGGCAAGTATTTTGTCTGTTTTTTTGACTGCTAAATCCTCAGAATCTAAGACAGTGCCTGGTATATAATAAGTGATCAATAATATTTGCTTATTAATCATTAAATTAATATATATTATATTCTTGCAATGTTAAAATCTATCTTATCATTGGTGATTTTTCTTATCACTTTTGAACTTACAAATTTCTTTTCAATCTATATAGTTGCCTATATTTTCTTCTAGTTATTTCATGGTTTCATCATTTATGCATTACTTTTTGGAACTTTTGAAGTTAATTTGAAATTTCCTCCTCTACTTTCTTTTCATCCTTCCTTTTTTTTCTCTTTTTACTAGTAAACTAATTTTCCCATCAAGTTGTTTTAGAAATAACTTCTTTCTTCCCTAAAATGTCTGGGAAATTTTATTTATAGTGAGGTTATAGTCACTTTTGCAGCCCTTAAATATTGCATTGTGTAGAGCCCCATTTCATGAGCCTCTAATGTAAACAATATGAACGTGAAAATTGCAAATGTGTTTGTGGTGCTGAACTTGTCTCCCATCAGAACTAAAATTTTCTAGTACATACCATGTGTCTTTAGGATATTGACATCCAACATATAAAGATTCACATCATTTTTAAAATATGGTAAATTAACTTGTACATTATGAAGTTAATTCTGTTGCCCAATTTCTGAGGTAAACCCTCTTTTACTCTTGACAATCCTAAACACAGTTACTGTCCTGGCACTAGTGGTGCTACAGCTGTAGATGGTTGCGGTTGTAGCCCACACAGAACCTGCATGTACATATTGTTGGTTCCCATGCTTGCTTTTGTTTTTCTCCCGTTAAGGTTCATAACAGCCCGAGGTGCCTTGGTTCAGTGTATTCTTGTTATCGGTCAATCAGCTTGTTCTTCTCAGACCAGGAGGAAATCCAAATTTATGGGCACGAAATAAAAAAGGATGGAATCAGGTAAGATATGATAAATGATATAATGACAATAATACCACAGATTCATAGAATATTTACACATTGGAAGTGAATTGTAGAGAGTAGGAAGAAAGGATTTCTTTTCAATAAAAATCTCGAAGTTAGATCACACAGACGTTAAATGTTAGTAGGCTCTGAGGCCAGTTAGGTGGCCAGGAGTCTAACCAGTTTAACCTCCCTAATGCTTGTTCAGGATACACATATGTTTACACAGTTAGCGATAAGATTATTATCTTACTCTAAGAGATTCAGGAGAAATCTTCATGGCTCAACCCTTCAATTATTTTTGCTTTCTTTGTAAAAGCAATCCTCCATTCGTTCGTTTGTTGGTTCCTTCCTTTCTTTGTTTCTTTTCTTCTTTCTCTCTTTCTTTCCCTCTCTCTACCTCCCTCCCTTCTCCCTCCCTCTCTCTCTCTCCCTTCCCTTTCCCTCCCTTTGCTTTCCTTAAAATAAAACTAAACCTCTGAAATCCTTTGTGAGTTTTGGGTATCACTTGAGATTTCCCATCAATGTTCTAACAGAGATTCAGAGCCAATAAATCACCAGCCTTCTTCCACAGGCCAGAGTGGGGCCCACTCTGGCTTCCTATCTGACAAGAATAAAACCTGAGGGTCTTGGGGGAAAGTGATAATTACTTATTTGGTGGAAGGTTTTATATATTTTAAGCTAGGAATATTGTGGAATAACCTACCTTCCAATCTAAATAATGATAGAGATACTCAATTTTAAATATTTCCTGGCTGCTTCATGTCAGGAAAAGTAAATTATGGGATGGAACAATTCTATCCATCATTCAGAATTCACCAGCAAGTGTTTGAACCATGGGGATTCTTTCTAACACAAGGACCTTACCAGCTTATGTACTTTTCTTCTTAGTTTAGATTCCCTAAGAGGCAGCTGATGATAGGAGAAAGGGCTGTGGATGAAGCACCGTGGGGTCAGGTGCTGGCCGAGAGCTCATCCTAGGCAACAAGCAGCCCCTCTTCCTCCCTGGGGCTTATTTTCTTGATCAACTGGGTTCTGTACTCATTTTCTTATAAAAGAAAGTTTAACTGTTTGAATGGGAAGATAATACAATCACCTATGTATTTCTTGGAGCTGAATTTAAATAGTGATTTAGGATTCCTTATATGGGATTTTGGGTAATATAATGAGCACTTAAAAATTATTATCTTTTATAAACAAATCACTATTCAAGTAGATTTTTAAGAAACTAACACTTTGTTAAATCTCAGACTTATGTCATATTTCAATTTTAACTCGGAAATATTTTTCTGAGAATTTCCATTTCTATGATAGAAGAGGATGGTTTTCTTAGTATTCAGCTAAATTGCTTATAATGATGCTGTACCTGGCCTAGGGCCTAACGCATGGCAGGTGCTAGAGAAATGTTTGCCAAAATGAAATCAAATGCATGAAGCTCTGCACATCATGCCTTACCTCCCCGGACTTCAGTTCTCTCACCTGTGAAGTGAAGGGTTTTGGCACATATGACCCCATTAATAATTTTCAGCATTAATCTGTGCATTCATTTCATTTTGTATGGTTAATGTGATCTGCCTAGGTTGCATGGAGTTTTTCTTAAACTTACGGGAGATTACCTAATTTTTGTTATTATCTCCCACTTCTGCTAGCATCCCTTCACGTTATAGACATCTGGATAACCACAGTTATGCACCTTTTCTTTTAAAAAATTGTGTATTTAATCAAATTTATTGTGAAAGAGATCAAATTACAAACCCCAAAATCCCTCCAACAGAACCACTGTACCTCCAGACACTGATCTTCCTAGTGCTATGAACTCTCCTTAGGAAACATGGTCCCTTTTTTAGTATAGTTTTTATAAACTTGTCAACTTAAACATTTTAAATAACTATTTATATTAACTTTATATTTATAGCTATTTATAGTAACTTTTACTATGAATTTAATATGAATTCCTAGTGTTTATGATTTTTAATTAAGAATGGATTATGGCAGTAGTTAGCTAGAACCTTTTTATTTATTCTCCAATGTATATTTTAGTTATTTTCCCATTCTTGTAACTAGTTCTCTCTAAACAGTTATCTATAGGCATGTTTGTGCAAATGGTTGCAGATATTTTGAATAGTTTCTCTGGGGACTCTACCTGTGTTAATGAGTATGTTTGGTTTTATATTTTATATTTTTGTCCATGTAGCCATGCCCTTCCTGGGAAGGAAGTCACTAATTTGAAATTTTTGAAAGAAATGTATGAATATACCTACTAATGTCCCACCTAAATTACATTATAGCTTATAATTTTCATTTAGTATGGCTATTTTAGTAAAAATGATTTCTTCCTTCCATTTCCTTAATTACTAGCACTTGCTCTTTTCTGTAATACTTGTGGGTAGAAGACCAGTATTCTTTGAAAAGTATTCAAGATGACTTACTGTGCTTTTAAAATACCTAATTGTTTAGTTTTCTTCAGTTCTTTTATGTCCTCCACTTCCTTTGTTTGTGTATGACTGTAAAAGTGGAAAGAGTAGACGTTAGATCATCACTTTAAATATTTGAGGGGATCCTTGTTTAAATAGGCCAAATTGTATCCAATTTAAGAATCATTAGTAATAAGCCCTGTGCAGTAGTTTATGACAACATATTTTATATTTAATAATGTATTTTGTAACATTAAAAATGCAAATTATAATTAATTTGGCTAGACATTTTTCTTTTGGAAACAAATGACTTTTACCTAGGTGACATTTTGGAAACAAAAGTTCCTATCTCTTTATAGCCTCCACTTTAAAACAAAATTAAACATCAGAACTCAAGCAGTGTTTCCATATTTTGACTATTGTTTGTCCTTAATTCAAAATTGTTGAGCAGCCTTTTTAGATTACTTGAACTCTTCAGATAAAAAATAAATATATTAAGCACTCATTATTCTAAATAGAGAAAGTTATTTTCCAGACTTTAGTAGACATGTGTTTTTGACTGCTTGAGAGTAGGATCCAGTTATAAGTATAAAATCTTAATCAATATGGGGCAAAAGATAACTTTATTGTTTTTTTATTTCAGTATTTAATTTTTACAAAAGTCTTGAGATTTCCTGTGTGATGGTTGCTTGAGAAATCTATATGCATAATTTATTCAATAATTTTAAATAATAATTATCAATTCAAGTCACTTCAAGAAAGAAATAGATCATCTGTCATTTATCTTTCTTCATAATTATTAGATTGCATTTATTCTGTTTTTCAAGTTTAACATTGCCTCAGACAATCGGACAAGTCTTCATCGAGAAACTAGCCGACTATATTCTGGTGAAAACAACTTTTGGTTTTTCATTGGCGTGGGATGGAATATCTGGGATTTACCTCAAACTGTCTGAGGAGCATAAAGGGAAATCATGTGGCCTATGCGGAAACTACAATGGCATTCAATCCGATGATTTTATCATTCAACAAGGTAACTGAGCAGAGCAGAAGGAAAGGTGGAAGGAGGGCTTCTTCAGTGATCCAGCCGATTGTACCCAGAAGGGCACAACTTGTACTAGGGTGGGTCAAATTGGTGGCTATCGCTTGCCTGCTTTAGTGCTTTTAAGAGAAGCTTGACCAGGAAAATGTTTTTGTGTCATTCTTGAAAGCCATGAGCTAGTTTACATTTACTAAAGTAAGATACGTGCCTTAGTCATGTAACAAATATGAACTGAGTATTGACTCTGTGTCAGACACTGTTGAAGCAGCTTGGGGTACACCAGTGAGCAAAACAGAGCCTCTTCCCTTCTCAGGGCTTGTGTTTCCGTGAGTCAGACCCCCTGAGGCGAACTTGTCTACTTTTGGACCAAAGGTATTTTGCATCTAGGTTTGATAGGAGTAAATTAAATGGCTGCCAAATGATAGCTTTGTAGAGATAACAAAATGTGAAGAGAATTTGAAGTTGAACAATAACTCGGAAAGGTATGTATCACGTATAACAGTGTATGTGTCATCTTTCATCTATTCATTCTCACTCACGAAACTGATCTTAGTGAGTTTCTGAAAATGAGCTGTTTCAGTTTGCATTGTGTGCGGTGGTAAGAGAATAAGGGTAGCAGCACAGCACACGACCTTCATGGAGGTCCACATATAGAGGTGCAACAAAAAAGAAAATGGATACGAGTACCAGCAGATCTGGCTTTGAATGTTGCATTACATAATTGGAAGCAACTCATTTAATGGCTCTGATGCTCAAATTCTTCAGCTGTAAAACAGGAATATAGTGATTCTGAACTCACAGCATTTTCAATAATAATAATGACAGGACACTATTTAGAATAATAGTTAATATGACCACACAGTTATATTATTCTTGACCCTTACAACATTTTGTACACTGGGTGGTATTTTCTTGATTTTATGGTGAGGACACAAGATGATATATGCCCCATGCATCACAGCTTGTAAATGGTTGGCTTACACATCCAACTGGCTCCCAATTCTCTGCTTAGACGTGTGTGTGAAAAACTGACTTTTAATCTCTCAAGTACCATATAATACTTCTATGTTTTATTTTTATATTATAAAAGTAATAGGGAAGAGTTGCCTGTATGTTGTGTTTTAAGAGATGGTCTAAGTCCTCCTTAGAGTGTGGGTTCAGAAAATTCAAATTCTGTGTTGCCACTTGCTAAACTTTCTAAGTGTAATGGCATAATGATAATTTATACATCATAGAGATGCAAGGGTTAAATAAGATAATCCATGTAAAATGCTTACTACAGTGCCTGGCATATAACTGATACTGAAAACATTTTGGCTGATTTACAGCCACGTCCAGGTGTTTTCAATAGGCCTGTAATGGGGCTAACATGAAAATGTTCTGTAGACATTGTTTAAAGAGGCTCTAATTAAAACAGAAACATTTTAATGGATGGATGGGTCATGTATAACGGGTATGTGTGTCATCAGGATGAGTCTACTAGCAGCTGGAGTAAAGAGCAGGCCTCCAAGCAGCCAGGGTCCTCTCATGTAAAATGGAGGTGATAATAATGGCCCTGAGAGCTTTTCAGACTGTGAAGATCAACTGAGAAAATGTGAGTGAAAGTGTTGAAAAGTCCTTGAGCACAATGTACTTGTGCAGTACTGAGATCAGGACGTGTTGTTCTGCATCCAGTTGAGTATTTAGAAGGAGAGGGCTCTCAAACTTGGAATCTTGAGACAGTGTTAGGGGTAAGGTTTGGGACTCAGGCAGCACCCATCAGAATGTAATTGTTAATTTCTTGTTCTGTGTCAAAGCGTCATGAAAACCGGTGCTCAATCCAGTTGTCAGTGTTTGAGTTAGAAATTACTGCTCTGGGCAATTGTTCCCTGGGATATCTTGGGGACGTGGTATAGAGGCCAGGAGAAAATAGCACCTGCTCTTGTTAGAGGCAGAGAGACCCAGGTTTACATTTGAGTTAAGAATCAGACAGACCCTGATAACCTGGAACATAAAATCGTTGCTTGCAGAGACGTGGCAGCATGCAAAGGGGTGCTTGCAGATCGTTGGTGGGAGAGGACTGGCAGGATGTAACCGGAATGAATGGTGGCTGAACTGGTGGAGGCCAGGAGGACCTTGGGAAGTGTGTGGGAGGGGCCTCAAGAGAGCTTGCAGCTGTCTCACAACTGGATTTGGTGGACAGTATGCAGTACTCTAATTAAAAAACAAAACACAATAATTTATAGGGATATGACTAAAATGGCCCTCTGATTTTCTCCCATCTGTGATAATGCAAGAGAAATCTAGATGTGCTGTATGACCTTTAGCTTTACAATGCCTAGTACTGTTTGAAACACAGCCGGCACTTTTCTGATTAGATCAATCTTTAGAGGCAGTGAGGTGATTTGATGGGATGCTATTGATGGCAGAGTTTCTTAATGGTGATTACAACTGTATTTTTCTCTGCATTCCTACTCATACTTCAGGGATGGCTTCACAAAGAAATGAGGCTTTTCAGAATTTCTGTGGATAAGGAAAGATTTTAATTTGTCTAGTTTAGATTCTGGTTCATAATTCATGTCTATAGCAGGCTATGCATCAACACAGAAGCCTGGTTTACTCCTGTTACTCTACATAATGATTAATAGAGCTTCCCTTTCACTCTCAGATGAATCACAATAAGGACAATAAATTCCTCTATTCATAGCACATTTCATATGAAACATTTTAATGTTAGCTTTGCAGGCTCCCAGACCACCAATTGATATGAATTTAAAGTCTCATAATAACTAACTTTTGTGAATTTTTATTAATGCAGTGTGGTAAAAATAGCTAAATGTGTGGTTAAAAGCTGGAACTAAGAAGAAATCTAAGGAATCGCCCAGTTGAGTATTACATTAAAATTTGTCCATAAATATTGAAATAAGTGTGTGTTTAGGAAATATTTTTAAATCTGTAGACTTTAAAAAAAGGACGTTTTGAAGTGAAATGTGGCTAAAATTTACTTAAAAGGAACATCAGTTATTCCTTTTTTAAATAAGTATAGTAGACCAGGCTCATGCTTGCTTCAGTGTATAGCATTTCTAGCAATATCAGAGATCAAGAAGTGGAGCAGACAAACTTGAAAGCTCTAGAATTCTAGTAATCTATTTAATAAATATTTCAAACTCCCTTTTATTTATTCATTCATTTATTTAGCAAATGTATTTTGAACACCTGCTCTATACTGGATACTAAACAAAGGGCACAGCAATAGGACAGCTTAGATGAGCTCTCTCCCTTCATGAAAATGTTCTGTAGACATTGTTTAAAGAGGCTCTAATTACAACAGAAACATTTTAATGGATGGATGGGTCATGTATAACGGGTATGTGTGTCATCAGGATGAGTCTACTAGCAGCTGGAGTAAAGAGCAGGCCTCCAAGCAGCCAGGGTCCTCTCATGTAAAATGGAGGTGATAATAATGGCCCTGAGAGCTTTTCAGACTGTGAAGATCAACTGAGAAAATGTGAGTGAAAGTGTCGAAAAGTCCGTGAGCACAATGTACTTGTGCAGTACTGAGATCAGGACGTGTTGTTCTGCATCCAGTTGAGTATTTAGAAGGAGAGGGCTCTCAAACTTGGAATCTTGAGACAGTGTTAGGGGTAAGGTTTGGGACTCAGGCAGGACCCATCAGAATGTAATTGTTAATTTCTTGTTCTGTATCAAAGCGTCATGAAAACCGGTGCTTAATCCAGTTGTCAGTGTTTGAGTTAGAAATTACTGCTCTGGGCAATCGTTCCCTGGGACATCTTGGGGACGTGGTATAGAGGCCAGGGGAAAATAGCACCTGCTCTTGTTAGAGGCAGAGAGACCCAGGTTTACATTTGAGTTAAGAATCAGACAGACCCTGATAACCTGGAACATAAAATCGTTGCTTGCAGAGACGTGGCAGCATGCAAAGGGGTGCTTGCAGATCGTTGGTGGGAGAGGACTGGCAGGATGTAACCGGAATGAACGGTGGCTGAACTGGTGGAGGCCAGGAGGACCTTGGGAAGTGTGTGGGAGGGGCCTCAAGAGAGCTTGCAGCTGTCTCACAACTGGATTTGGTGGACAGTATGCAGTACTCTAATTAAAAAACAAAACACAATAATTTATAGGGATATGACTAAAATGGCCCTCTGATTTTCTCCCATCTGTGATAATGCAAGAGAAATCTAGATGTGCTGTATGACCTTTAGCTTTACAATGCCTAGTACTGTTTGAAACACAGCCGGCACTTTTCTGATTAGATCAATCTTTAGAGGCAGTGAGGTGATTTGATGGGATGCTATTGATGGCAGAGTTTCTTAATGGTGATTACAACTGTATTTTTCTCTGCATTCCTACTCATACTTCAGGGATGGCTTCACAAAGAAATGAGGCTTTTCAGAATTTCTGTGGATAAGGAAAGATTTTAATTTGTCTAGTTTAGATTCTGGTTCATAATTCATGTCTATAGCAGGCTATGCATCAACACAGAAGCCTGGTTTACTCCTGTTACTCTACATAATGATTAATAGAGCTTCCCTTTCACTCTCAGATGAATCACAATAAGGACAATAAATTCCTCTATTCATAGCACATTTCATATGAAACATTTTAATGTTAGCTTTGCAGGCTCCCAGACCACCAATTGATATGAATTTAAAGTCTCATAATAACTAACTTTTGTGAATTTTTATTAATGCAGTGTGGTAAAAATAGCTAAATGTGTGGTTAAAAGCTGGAACTAAGAAGAAATCTAAGGAATCGCCCAGTTGAGTATTACATTAAAATTTGTCCATAAATATTGAAATAAGTGTGTGTTTAGGAAATATTTTTAAATCTGTAGACTTTAAAAAAAGGACGTTTTGAAGTGAAATGTGGCTAAAATTTACTTAAAAGGAACATCAGTTATTCCTTTTTTAAATAAGTATAGTAGACCAGGCTCATGCTTGCTTCAGTGTATAGCATTTCTAGCAATATCAGAGATCAAGAAGTGGAGCAGACAAACTTGAAAGCTCTAGAATTCTAGTAATCTATTTAATAAATATTTCAAACTCCCTTTTATTTATTCATTCATTTATTTAGCAAATGTATTTTGAACACCTGCTCTATACTGGATACTAAACAAAGGGCACAGCAATAGGACAGCTTAGATGAGCTCTCTCCCTTCATACAGTGGAAGACAAAATAAATAGACAAATTAAAATGTATTTCTTGTGAGCAGTAATAACCATGAACAATAATGTGGGGAAATGGGAGGTTCAGAATGATATAATGGCCTATGTAGATCATGTGACAGAGAAGGCCTCTGAGTAGGTCGTATTAAACAGACGCCTAAATGAAGTGAGGGAAAGAGAAGAGGGAAGATAGGAGGGAAGAAAGATTTTAAGAAGCAGCAGCAAGAGGGGAACAAGATCAAGGTGGTAATGAGTTTGCATGAAGAGTAGATAAAGCCAGTGTGACTGGGGTAGGTCGAGCTAAACGGGAATAGAAGATGTAAAAGGGGCAGGGCTGTGGTGGGGTGGGTGGGAGGACATGAAGATTCAGGGAGCACAGGGCCAAATGAAAACGTCTTCCAGGCCGCCGTGAGGTTTGGAATTGCCCACAAGAGGGCAAAGTGTTCTGGCTGCTTTCCCACAGTCATTCCTATCGTGGTACAGCAAGCAGACATCTTCCTGTCTTAAAGATGCCGAGCGAGTGGTCACACGTTTGGCTTGAGGGTTTTGATTCAAGTGGTGCACTAGCTCGTCATCCATGGTAGACATGTGGCTCTGGATATCTAAGTGGTAAAAGAATCTACAGCTCAAATCCGAAGGCAGTCTGAGAGGGAACCGGAGGTGTCATCCTGCTGGTGTCTGCTCGGTCCTTTTTGGGTTGCACCTTTGCCTCTGTGTGCGTCAGGATGCATTTTTATGTCTGGCCCTGAATTGTTCTCAGGCCAGGTGCCGAGACGATGTAAGCTTGATTTGGAGCAGGGAGCTGAGAGTGCTCACCACCGATTGTTACAGCCTACATATTAGCTCCTGGGTCTTGTCTCAGAATAGTGCTGGGACAGTGACAGGATTCTTAACCATCTGTCCTGAGCATTTGTAGAAACACTAGTTCTCACATTCCAATGAGATGGAGCCATGGCTTCCTCTTCTCTTCCCCATGTGTCTTTCCCATTCTTTCACTGTCTGTGTGTCTTCTGAAATCTCCACAAGGGCTCATCAAAGATTGCTTTCATTGTTGGGTGCCCTCAACATGGAACTGCAGTTTTAGCAGGGTCATGACTCACGTCAAACACACTGACAGGGTGTGTGAGAACTTTGACACGGACTTTCATGTAACTCTCTTCGTTTGATGTGTACTTTCTCTCCTCCCTGCAGCCCTAACTCTAGGCTGATTCACATTCACGTTCAGCCCTTCCCTTCCTCGAGTCAATGAAGTTTGCTTTTTCTTTCCAATGACATGAACTTTTATTTGGTATTTATGCTTTGTTCAGCATATTTTTATTATGTTAATATAATGTTATAGTCTAAGACCCTTGATACTTACGAAGCTACTGAGTTTAACTTTTTGATCAGGAAGTTTATATTGGTAAACTGTGTGTTTGTGGAAAATGATATGATTATACATGTTTGTGTGTGTTTGTGTGAAACAGAGGATTATACAGAAGACATTGCCATGTTTGCAAATAGTTGGTCTGTGCACATTCCAGAGGACACCAAATGTGTACCCACACCCTCAGATTTTCCCAATCCATGCTCCAGTGGAATGCCAGCATTTGAGGTAAATCTGGTGTGCAAAATTTGGGCATGTTGGATTTAAGACATCTATTGTATTTGTATATTTAACATAAAGCATTTTTTAGTGGAAACACTACATTAGTCAACACTGTGAAATTCAGGAAACATAACTGCGACAGGAAAAACTTTAAGGTATTTCAGAAATAGTGAATGTAATGAGGTCCACAGAGGTGGTACTCAGCATGAAATTATGTAGTTAGAAAATGTTGTTTAAAGTTTATAAGTGGGAATTACCTTCTCTTTCTTGGTAAGAGCAGAGTCTTACAAATAGATCAGGATTAGAAAATGGGACTCTGCACAAAGCATTAAACATGTTTGGTGACCGCCACCGTTTTGTGTGCAGGCGATCTTCTTCAAGTGCCAGATACTGTTGCAGTTTCCTTTTTTGAGCTGCCATGAATATATTGATCCATATTTATATATTGCCAGCTGTGTTAATGATCTCTGCAAGTAAGTGAAATGATTAGTATTTCCAAAAAAATTTTCCTTATCCAAAAAAGAATGGCAAAACCCCTTCCGTAACTTAGCATCTCATTAGGTCATAAAATATGATGGGAAATGTAAAACATAAACTGTACTACGAGCTTTTGAAAAGCTTACTAGTTAGCAGGTCCAATCTGTTTTATAGAAGCAGCATAAACAGAATATAGCAGCTCTTAAATGTATTTTGGGGGAAGTGTAGAGATGTCTATACACTCTTTTGCAAAATACTGTTTTGGAATGTATAAAACGCATATGCTTACAAAGGAAACTAATTACATTGAAGTAGAGTTATCAAAATAGTAAGAGAAGTGAATTTCTGACATGTGTGCTTTTTTATCTGCATTTTGGGTCTGGTTACTACTGTAGTCTGATGTAGTGATGAGTGTAAACAATATTTTGAGACACCTGCAACAATTGTAGTGAGAAATGAAAACATGAAAAAATGAGGTATGAGATATATTGATGACAAAATGACAGATACGGCTAAGAACATTGTGATATGTTACCAGTATGCATAATGAAAAGAAATGCTAAATTTCAGCTGGAGGTTAGTGAAAATAAACATGTAATATTTTTCCCATCCAAGGCATTCTCTCCCAGGTGCAAAACACCTAGATGAGGTGGTTGTCTGGGAGAAAATTCAGCGAGAATCATCTTAATAGTTCATCAATGTAGAACTTCTTATAAATGACTTATTATTGAAGTGAAGTCCTTTCTTTTTTCAAAAATTTACCAAGCATATGTGACTAGACATCTTGAATGTTCAAAAATATCTGCAGAAGTTTTAATAAACCTGCCATTTTGAAATAATCCCAAGAAGTATAAATAAAACATGGGAACTTTGTTGTAATACACTAATTTTTGGTTGAGTAAAACACCTTAAATGATAGCTTGGATAACTTGTTAGGTGATTTAAATTAATCAAAAATGAAAGCTATCAGGGAAGATAGAGATAGCATGAAGTTGTCTTATTTATAACTATCTCCTTTAATTAAATGAAGATTATTTCAAAAATAATGGATATAAATGATTTTTTCCAAAAGCTGATTTGGGGGTTACTTAATTTTGAGTAGAGTACAGTTAGATCTTTATTTATATGTATAGTCTCTGAATTTTAGGGATTTATGAACAAATGCAGAAACTTTGAAAGAGCTCCCCGATCTGAAGTATGGGGTACTAGTCTTACTTTATATCTTCCAACATTCTGTTCTCTATTTGCTCACTGTATTATTAACATCTGTTCTTTTACTAAGTCTCTTTTATGAGGATCTCTGTGGGTTGTCCATGGTCCTTTTTAACCATGTGTATGGGATTAAAGATAACTCGTATTCCACAGTGACTCATTCTCCTACTATTCTCCAATAGTCTTTTTGCATTCCTTTATCATGATCGTCTTTAGCACCCACTTCTCAAGTAGCCTGAGAAGAAGTGCCATTTGGCAGGTCCGGGAAAGCCATTCTCCATTTATTGCTTAGGTTATTGTTTGGCTGCTCTAATCGCCAAAGTATCATTGGCTTAAATTAAATTGAATGCTTACATTTCTCTCCTATAAAGTCCAAGCTGTAGGACGTCCTGGGTCCATACAATGTATCCACTCCATGATCCAGTGACTCACTGATACTATTGCTATGTCATCCCCCAGGGCCTAGGGTATTATTGTCCATTTCACGGCCAAAACTAACTTAACACTCCTGTGTCCAAATTGTAGCCCTTCGGAGGTGGAAATGGAAGTAAAAAAGGAAGCGGACCAGAAGTTTCAGGCATATGCCCACTTTTGAATCTTGGGCTAGAACTTAAAAATATGGCTGCACCTTGATACCAGGATAGCTGGGAATCGTTGTCTTTGGCTGGGCAGCCATATGCTCAGAAAAAAACTTGCATATTCTAATACCAAAGAGAAGAAGAAGAAACTGGGGACAAAAAGCAGTCTTTGGCACACTCCATCTGAAATTTCATCACTGAGAAATTAGTATTTTGTCTTTTGAATTTCTGATATCTTTAGGATTTGGATTTTGAAATCTAATTGCTCTTTCCAGGGCAAATAAAAATAGCAGGAGAAAGAAATATATTTTACTCATCAAAATTGGCTGATACCTTAGGAGAGATGTTAGAGGGGGAGAGGCCAGGTTTGGGGGTGGAGCAGGCACACACCACCGCAGTAAGGGCACTGTGAGCCTGGGAGTGGACATGCACAGAACCAAAGTGAGAAGCTACCGGACTTAGCCTTTCATTCCTCTTAAGATTTCATGCAGGACTAGACCTACTTACATTCCTTCTCCCTTAGGGGAGAATCTCCATTTTTTATATTAGGGGACCAGATCATAAACCCTGTACCATGACAATAGAATTGTGAATCTGCTGAGCACAAATTAATTGTCTGCTTAGATTATGAAAGTATATTGGATTCAATGCAACACACATTTTCTGGGCATCTATTCTGAGCTGAGCTTTGGACCACACGTTGGAGAAACAGGAACAATTTAGATATGGTCCCTGTCCTAAGAACTCATATTATAGTGGGACAGGGAAATAGGTCTCCAGCACTGACAGATGCTCTAAATGCAAAGTGCCATGGACATGGAGGAGAGAACTACTACCTTTATCAGGGAGTGCCTACCAAGGCGCCACAGCGATGACATCTGAGTTGGAATTTGAAGAATGACCCATTACCAATCTGTGAATGAATGCCCTCCTGTGTCTGCTTCTGAGAATGATAAACCCAGCAGCAAGGAAACGGCTTTAATTTTGCCATGCCAAAGTCAACTGATTTAAAAATGTTCTTTGATGCTCATTTTCCTTATTAAAGTTAACATCCAAAATGGAAAAAACAACTAATTTTCCTCTAGTAAATTGGGATACTTTCTTTCTTGTCCAATTGTGAGTTTTCATGTGATACCATATGTAGCATGCCTAGCATGGATCCCAGAATAACATAGACACTTAATAAGTGGTAGCTCTGTTAATAATAGCTGCACTGGGTTGACAAAGCAATATTCAGTTAATTTAACTTTCAAAACTTCCATTCATTGTAGGAAACTGCATAGATTTTCAGGTAAATCATAAACTTAATGTCTTTCTAGGAACTCAGTAGTTCTGGCTTGTCCTATTTTCTGAGACTTTTGTTGTTTGGAGTTTTAGAATATTTTCTGAGCTCCTGGAGTTTATATGCTCGGTCCTTTTCTCCTTCTAGAGCTAAGTTAATTGGACTAGATAAACTGCATGACTCCAATTACTGTAGCACAGGGTAAGTGTAATTTGAGACAGGTGGCTTTGACAATAGAGATACTGAAAATGCTAAGGTTCACAGAAAGCAACATTCTTAAGGTCATTATCTTGTAAGATAGTTACGCAATTTTGAGTTTGAGTTGAGTTGAGAAACAGGCCCTCTGCCTTATTATAAACCTTGCTTATTTTATAGGGTCTTGTTAATCTGCTTTGGGAATTGGCAGACCTCTTCTATTTGTTTGGGGAAGCTTCTAGGGTGATGATGAGAAAATAATGAGAGATTATTTCTCTTGGCAATATTATAAAAGTAACTAGTTTTGGTAATTTAAACTTGAAAGAATTATAAATCTTTTAAATCTTAAATGCTGATTAATCTTTCAAAAGGGTTGCAGATGATTAGTATTGGTTTTATTCCAGCATGTAGACTAATCAAGATCTGGTATCCTAGATATAATTTTCATACTTGGTGCTTTGTTGTGATAGAATTTCATCTGTTGTAAGGAAGAATGTCGTAATTAAAATAGAAATCTTTTTCAGTATAGGTACTCCCTTGAATCGAAAGAAAAGTGGCCAAATTATTGGAAAACTTTGATGACAATGATTTACCTAATGATTTAGCTAGGATCCCATGTTTTTTTATGTGTTTTCTGCATTATTGTACATAATATATTATTATTGTACCCAATATTATTGTTGTACGTAATATATTATGCACATGCTGACATCAGTTAATACTGGAATATTCACCACACACTCAGCATTTCTAGAGATCAGAGCTTGAAGACATTGTTCCTGCCAATATTTCCAGAATGATTCTGGTTCTGTCTTTTCATTCTCCAGAACTCATGATGATGATACCTACTGCCGGGCAGCTACCGAGTATGCTCGAGCCTGTTCCCACGCCGGCTACCCTATTCAAGACTGGAGAGATGACTTCCCAGCATGCAGTATGCTTTCTTATTTTCTAAGCACTGAGCCCTTTTGCTAAATTTAGGTTTATTCTAGTACTTGAAACTTCCTCTAGTACTGAGAACTCCTAAATTGCAAAGATGTATGACTGACGTACTAGCACTGGTAAACTCAAATACTTTTTGAAATACTGTAAATTTTTTGAAAGAAAGGTGAATGAAGGTGACTCATCTCTGCTTGCCCATCTTAGCTGATAAATGCGATGACAGCTTTGTCCATCGGGATTGCATCAGTTGTTGCCCACCAACCTGTACATTTGAAAAACAATGTCTTGGGAGCAATCTCCGTTGTCTTGATGGATGTTACTGCCCCGATGGTAAGTGTTGCATTAAAGGGACCATGTCTGCATTCATGCAAACTAGTGTCTTATGATCTGAGATTCAAGTCATAACCTTCTCTCCCAAGACATCAGGGCTGTTGTGATTTCCTACCCTTGTGGGATTTGTTTCTTGAAGTGACCAGAAGGAATGGCTGCTTTTCTTTAATAAAAGGCTTATTACTTTGCAAAGTTCTCAGGAATATTGGAATCTGGAGTCCTGAAGTTGTCCATGACATATCTTTTGTTCTCTTAGAATACTTAAAGATATTTAATAATTTATATACTTCCATTTTTTTTAAAGATGAAAGCAAGTTCAGAAAAAAGCCTTCATGTTTTTAGCAGTATAAGAGTTTAGTCTTGATATAGTTTTAATATTTGAAATTAGAAGTAACATAGCAAGTGATACAGTTGGAATTTAAGTTTGGGAATGACTGCTATACTGATAGACCTTTATAAAGAACACTGAGGATTTACTCAAACCCTTTTATTTTGACAGATGGAAACAGTAGAATCTCAGAGGTGTTAAGTGATTTTCCCACTGTCATATACTTAATATCAGTGGGGACTACTTGGAACCAGATTTGTTGACCTCAATCCTAGGTTCTGTCCATGCTATCCACAAAGTATGCTATTCGGACCAATGACAGGCCTGACCTGTCTGTTGCCAGTCAATGATGAGTTCAGGACCTTGCACCAGGATATGAATACATGCATCAAAATATAAATCAATGCTTCTTTTTTCTAGTAACATTGTTGATTTACATTCTGGCTCAGCTACCATCACTCAGTAGAGGGAAGTAACGAATGTGGTTCCACTGTGCTGGTCCTTTGAGTAACATTGTTTGGCTTTCTATTATCTGTGACAATAGTGTAAATCTCTCATTGTGACATGAGCAGAGGTCAAAACTGAATGTATTTTCTCTATCCTTCACTCCGTTCCTCCCTCAAAAGCAAGGAAATACTGTCTAGTTGCCTTTGCTCTGTGTGGTGAGCCTTGGTTTTCTGAGAACAAGACATGGGATAAAAAAGTTGACAACCACTGAAATAGACCCTGATAAAGTAGCCACTGATTGAGACAGAACCAGGTTCCTGGTAACTTCCTTGAAAATAAAGAAATGTGTATTTTCAGCACCTAGTATAAGCAAGTATTCCATAAAAGTTGGTTGAATTATTATATTCAAAGGATACAATCTTTATTATTTCTTTTGAGAGTTTGATATGTATTTTTCTCAAATAGGCCTCATAATGGACAATGGGACTTGCATCTCCTTGGAAAATTGCCCATGTAGTTTTCATGGATTAGCTTACTCAGTTGGTTCAAAAATTGAACAAGAATGTACTGAATGGTATGTGATCCAATGTACAGCCAATTATTTTTGGGTACCTGCTAGTTGACAACTTTACTATGACATATGTCTAAAGGAATATGCTGATTACTGGTTTTCTTCCAAAAATTTCCCAAACATAGTTTGCATTTTATTTAAAGTCTGTACAGGGGTGGAGAGGGCATCTCTATTCTCTTTTCTGATGTAATTCTTCTCACTTCCCTTGAAGTTCCATAAAATCTTACACCCATGTGATGAGTTCATTGTATTTTCTTATTGTTTATAATCACTAATGTGCACATACTTTTACTCTTTGAACTTGATGGTATCCTTGCCCTTCTCTGTTGACTAGTTTAAAAAGTGACTCTCCATACTGACAATTTTTGAGCATGGAAAGAAATATTTAAAATTTCTTATTAAATTAGCTAACTGAGACTATTACAGGCAAGCATTCAATCCCTCCAGGCCAGTCCTAAAAAGAAACAGGGGTCTAAATGCCATCAGACGTCTTTCCCTTTGCTGTCAGTGTGTATAACTGAAATCAGTTCGATAAATAACCATGTTCTTAGACATTGATTTGAGTTCCTGCCTTTCAGAGGTTCTGCTACTGTCTTCCAAAACTCATGTTTTTTAGATAGAAGGCAGAATTTATCTTACATAAGAGGACCCCTCTCTTTAATGGCTGATGATCATCAAAACCAGCTTTCTTAATCTGAAATAGATGAGTCAGTTTATTAGTCTCACTCTATATCTATTTCTCTAATGATATGGGCAATACATTTTTGTGTGTGACATTTTTAGGGTAAACACTGAGAGAAAGACATGAAACAGAAGTTCTCTGTTGTCTTAGTGTTTTTGTTCGTGACTATTCAGTATTCCCTTTGTTTCATCTTTAGTGATTTTTAAGTATGACATGCAACAGATAGTAATTTAGGAGCTGCCAGCCAAAATTTACCAATTAATTGAGGTTTTGAGAGATATTTTCCATGTTAGATTACTCTGAACCTAGAAACATGATATATTTTGGTATAGTTAAATATATTGATGCAAATACTATGTGTGTATATACATATATATATATAATTTCTCTATACCAATGATGAATATTTGTATAATTTCATTTAGCATATGTGTTGGTGGAGTTTGGAACTGCACTGAGCATGACTGTCCAGGTAATCTTTTAAAATGTTTTTAAAGGGAATGATTCAGTTTTCTTTAAATCAAGGAGGAAGAAAACACTGATTTTTATGAGATCATTTCATATATATCAAGATGTAATGATCTGTAAAATCCAGGTATTCCAAGGATAAATGAAAAATTGGATAAATGATAGCTTTGGGCAGGAAACTTTGGCAAAAATTTATTAAAATCATATAAATATTACAAACTTAAAAAATATGTCACAAGAACCATCATTTAGTAAATTTAATAAATTAAATTGAGAAACATAGTTTGTCAAACTAATAAATTTTAAACGCTTTAGCTATTTTTTTGTTTGCATGATGCATGATTATTTACCCTAAACTGATTTGCTTTTTTAAAAGTAAACATAGTTTCTTCCTCCTTCTTCCCTCTCTTTTTTTCTCTCTCTCTTTTTTTTTTTGGTAGTTCAATGCTCTGTTGTGGGCGATTCTCATTTTACAACTTTCGACGGCCGGCACTATTCTTTCATTGGAATGTGTCAATACATCCTTGTGAAAGCAACTGGAAAAGATAAATTTACAATTACTTTACAGAAAGCACATTGTGAGCAGGTAAGAACATCCCCAAATGACCAGAGATATGTTTATTTTTTTGACTCCAACTTCATATCTAGGTTAAGAAAAGTAATGTGAATGAGCACAGTGATTTTCTTGAAAAATAAGATGCTACTGACTGGTTAAGATGCATCATTTGTCTACATGCTACAAAGAAAGAAAAAATGTTGATATTTAATCTATGTTATACTATTGACCATATATTACATTGTTTTCAGAGATACTAAAATATGAAAAGACTATGTCTTAGACTAAATATTATGTATTTAATTGAATTCTATTTCTTAAAAACTAGTATTTCTATATATAATTTTTTGAACATTTCATGCATGACTGTGCAAGGATCCTAATTTTTAGTTACTTTAATAACCACTTTCTTAAGGATATAATTTTTGATAGGATTTAACAGGTTTCATACCATTCGAAAGAGATAGATGAATTTTTTAGCATACTAGAATATTTATTTTAGGTATTTTCTATAAATAAACACACAATAATAATTTTCTACAAATAAACAAAACATAAAGACACCCAGATCTTTCATCTCTCTAAATGAGGTAGTCACAATTTTGAAGAAATCTTTACTTATCTAGTTTTATTCCAGCATGAAATGGTTATTTCCAACAACCCAGAACTACTTTATTTGCTCTTTTTTTCCAGCTTAATTCTTTTCCTTTGCAGTATGTCAGAGTCTGAATAAGCTTTCTTCATAGAATCCTAATTCTCTTTGTTCTTCTCTTTATTGAATTGCTTATGTCTAATATACCAATTAAATGAATTTAGAGAGGTACTTTGTGTGCTATGGAAAACATAATTTTTGGTACTTTATTGAAAACATTTTTATTTCATGAGCTGTGTGACATATATGAATGTATATGGTATGTTTAGTGAACATTGTAAGATGTATTTTATTGGAAATGGTGCTGCAGAGAATGGATTATGTAGGAATTACTTTGTTAATATTACTTACGCTCAAGCCTTCCATACACAGAAATTCTCGCCTGTGTGCTTTCTTCTTCTCTTTCACCCCCGCCTCCTGTTTCTCTCCCACTGTCCTGTCTCTCTCTCTCTCTCTCTCTTCCTGTAATTGATGTGATTTTCCTGCAGAATCTTGGCTTGGTCTGCCTTCAGTCTATAACTCTAATTCTGGAGGATGATTTTAACAAGCAAGTGACCCTTAGCAGGGGAGGACAGATTGTCACCAGCCCTAACCAAGGCTTCAGTCTGAATGGTAAGACGCAATACCAACGGCGGCGTTCCTTCCATTAAAAGTAACAAGACGAACCTTCAGTCGTCTCCCTCTGGTTGACAGGCTTAACCTTTGATTGCCTAGGCGTTACCATGTCCTCAGCTAGAAGCCGTGGAGACCACCATGTTTATGGGACCTCGTGTTTACCTCAATGGCTTAGAACTTGGAAGGAGAGAGATGCAAGCTAACAGCCTCTTACCTAAAATATGATAAATTCAAACATATTGATAGGGTCACTGGGGGCTAAATGAGTGCAGCTCATCCAGCCTTGGGGAGGGGTGTGTAGGTGCAGTCAGGAGAGTGTTTGGGAGGAGGGGATGTCTGACTGAGCATTTAAAGTTGAGGATTGCCGGGTTGAAGCAGAAGGGGAAAGTGCCCCACTCAGAGTGAGGAGGAAATGTGTGGGGGAACTGTGTCTGGTTTGGCACTGTTAAAGCTTGAAGAGGGATATGGACGATGTCCAGAGATGAATATAGGGAAACAGGTGGAGATGAGCCTGGGCAAGGCCTTCTATGCAGGGCATCATACACGGTGGTTTTCCTGGGAAGGGCCCTGTTCATGCCTGTGTTCCAGCATAGTTATTAATAACACTCTTTTTCACTCAGAAATATACCAATTTGGATTACAAATTATATGGTTACGCTACTAACTGTCATGCTAAGGAAGCTGAACTTGACATGAGATTATCACTATTTGACCATTTTTATGTACGAAGATGACAATCTCATACGGTTCAACAAGTTTCAATGAGAAGACTGTTAGTCTTTTTTACATAGGCTGCTATGACAACAGTGTGTGGAAATGACTTTGGAGTTGTTAAGAGACGTGGAGAACAGTAAAGATGTGATTAAATTAGGGCATCTAAGAAATGAGGAGGAACTGACCTAAGGCAGTGACAGAAAACATGGAAGAAAGGCAGACAGAAAAATTATTTAGAAAAAAAGTGGTCTGAACTTGGTGATGGATTGGATTGAGATTGACTGGGGAGATGAAGTGATCGAAGAATGATTCTCAGATTTCTGGGGCAGAAATTGTGGTATGGATACAGGAGCAACCCTTTTGGTGGCAAAATTATTAGTTTAGTCTTGAACACAAGTTTCCTGTCTCTAATGTTGTCTCATAAAATGGTGCTCCTCAAGCCCTGTGCACCCCCTTTTGCTGACTATCTCAAGGGAATTGGTAATTTGGAGCAAATACGACTACTTCCTTATTGAATCATGGCTAATGTGGGAAGAAATTCACAAGCGCACGCGCGCGCGCGCACACACACACACACACACACACACACACACACACACACACACAAGTTAAGGAAAAGAGATCAGGTTCCAAATGTCTGAGGACTGCTCACCTCTGCCGTGCGGTGCTTGCCAACTGAAATGACATGCAGAACTGAAAATCTATTACAAATATCTGCTGAAGACCCAGAAAGGAGGTACAGAGGGAAATGGGAGAAAAGAAGACAGGCACGTGTTGGCAAAAAGTGGTCCCGGAGGGACAAGAACCGGAAGCTGGCTTCAGTATCTAGGAAGGAGAACCCCGATGTTGCATGCCAGCATTTCAGAACACTGCCTAGGACTCTCAAAGCTGACTTATATATGTTCTTTTCCTGCAGGAATTGTTGAAATTCAAACTCTGTCATCCTTGTTTATTCTTCTAAAAACCACATTTGGCTTAAAGATTCTGTTTGCTATAGATGGAGAAAGAATTTATATTCAGCTTACGAGTGCATGGAAAAGAAGAACATTAGGTCTGTGTGGGACTTTTAATGGGAACATAAGAGATGATTTTCTGTGAGTATGATTTCTATATAGCTAACATGATTTAAGAACTAGTAATTTAAAGGATATGAATTCATTCATTACAAATGTTTACTTAGCTAATAATAGCTTAGTCATCACTGTTCCAAGAGTTTTGCATGGATCATTGTATTTAAATTTTGTAGCCATCCCCTTGATTAGTTTCTCTGTTTTATAAATAAAGAAACTAAGATGAAGGCTCAAAAGTGGCACATACATAACTCAAAGTCACTTAGCTCAAAAGCAGTGGAGCTGGGCTTGAATTGAAACAGTGTGGCTCAGAGCCTGTGGGCTAACCCACAGGAACACTACCCATTATTCTCTCACCTGCCACCCTTCAAGCTTAATGGTATTTTTGAAAATTCTCTGCCTTCCAGAAAATCTTAATATCATTTGGTATTAATGATAGTATATTATACTTTAAAAGTCTTCCTATCATTTGATATGAATGATACCTCTAAAGCAGCATTTGACATTTAAGGTTAATTGGATTTGTGATAGTTGATATTTCATCAGAAGGAAAACAAATTACATTTGTACTCCTTGTGTTGGCAAAGCACGTTCACCTACATGTGAAGAGACACAGTGTATATTTTGTGTGGCTGCTCTGAGCACCTGTTATTGTGCTAAACACTGTGGGGCAATTTAAGCTGTATGACAGATTTCCCATCCTCGAGGAGCTTGTATTGCACTTCAAGGAGGGAATAAAAACCTTTAAGAGAAATTAGTTCTAGGCAAGGTATCAACCAACAATATATATAAAAATATGAGGTAATTCCAGAAAGTTAAGTGTGGAGCTGTATGGTCAGGACTAGCAGCAGAGCATGAATTTGAGGAGGTCAATGTGGGCTGGGTAGCCAGGGAACGCTTCCTGCGGAATTCATTCTCCAAATACCTTAAAAAAACAAACAAACAAACAAAAACACTTCTGCATATTCTTCCTGCCTGGAATTATTTCCCCTCCTAATCTTTCTCATGAAATTCTACTTATTGTTTACCCAATTCAGATATTATTTGCTTCAAAAAGCGAGTTCACATCCCATCAGAGTTAATTTTGACCCATCTGTGAAAGTCTATTATCTGTCTGGTTCCCACTTAAATCTGTGAGGGCTTTGAGAATAAGGATCATGTCCTTGGTCCTCGTCCTTAGTAACTACCATACAACCTGTGGGCAGTAGATGGTTGAAATGAACAGAGGTAGATGGTAAATGAACTTTTCATGGGGCACAAAGAAGAGAATTTGGATGGCTGAGGAAAACTGGCATTAAAATTTTAAATTTCAAAAGAGAATTTCTTTTATTTTGTCTCCTGTGTGATTCATTTGTTTTTAGGTTATTTAGGATTTTTTTTGTTTCATTTATTTGGAGAATATCGATATCTTTATCTCACATGTGAAACAGAAACTGTATTAAGTGGCTTGGCTAAGATGAGCAGAATAGGCACTAAGCCTTCCTGTTTGTCAGAACGGGTTAGCAGTCGGTGTTTAACAGATGGCAGATCTGTCTGCCTCTTTCTAAGGCACCAGTCTCCTCCATGTATAAACATTCAGGCATGATAACAGTGTAGGATAATATTTCAGAGTCAGAGATAACTTTTAAATATTGTTTAGCTTTCCAGCATAAGCAGTTAAAAAAATCTTTACTTCACAAAGTTTAATGTGAATCTACAAACAGAGTGGAATGGAAAATATTAATTACTTGAAAATGTGTTTTGTATGCCTTGTTATACTAAGCTACCTATGGTTATCCAAAAGGTTATTTTATAAAATGAATGTGATAAATAAATGGGTCTGCATTTTAGCTTCTAATGGCTTTTGTATTTATTGTTTTAAGTGAACTAAATGAAATAAGCCAGTCAAGCTCTGAGTCAGTTTCTCCTAGGAACCCTGGCTGCACCCATCACCTTGACCTATTATATTGTCCACTGTAGGGGTGAAGAAGGAAGAAGAGGGGAAAGCATGAGAAGAGCTGGGGCAATTCATGCAATTTCTTTGAGTCTCACTGTTCTCATTTGAAAAAAATGAGATTTTGGGTTGGGTGTTTGTTTAATCCTTCCCAGTTCTAGAATGGCTTAATTCTGAGGACGAGGGAAAGGAAGGAAAGGGTGGGGACAAGAGATGGGCATTGGGGAAGGGCTTGGGCAGCTGCCTTTTTTCCTCCTCAGTCTTTGTGGTAAGAAGCTCCATATACTTAATGGGGACGCCATATACTAAAATGCTAACCAAAGTAGTTAATGTATTAGGTTACTACGGAGAGCCCGGATAAAGCCTCCTATACTTTTTGGCCATGTTGTAGCAGTGAACACAGTAAGGGGTTGTGTTAGTCAAGTTTTGCTTGGTCAAAGCTTCCTATAGAAGACCAAGTCCAACCTGATTTGCTACATAGTTTTGATGACGTTTGGCATGGTGTCCATCAGGGATTGTCACTTACTAGATATTAGCTGATGAGTTAATAAATGCTGAAGACTGTTGGAGGGAACATTTTAGTGTCTGGCTCCTAAACATTCTTGTGGTTTAGGAGCCTTGACTTGGTAGGGTAGCTGTTTCTCTTTCATTTTGGTTTGCTGAGGGAATTGAAGAAATGAAGGGTGTCTTTTATACTGTTTTTCAATTTTCATTTGGTTTATTTGCTCAACTTTGTGATGGAACCTTAGCATTTCAGTTTTCATAATGGAAATTGAAATATTGAACCAGAAATATAGAGTACTCATTCTTTGGGACATTCGTCTTTGCCCTGGAAAGAATCATGTGAGCTACCTACCTCTATCTCCCCCCATGCACCCTGAACCATACACACATTAATGTGTTGGTTGTCTGAGTGATGTATTATTAAATTGTTTAATTAAACTGGATTTGAATCTTAGCCCTGCCCCTTGTCAGCTGAGTAAATGTTGATATTTTCCTGACCTTCTACTTTGTTTTCTCTGCAAAATGGAGAGAATGATGTTTCCTTCACAAGGCTGAGATGATTATTAAGTACAACCATGTATGTCCACAATTGTACACATTGTAAATTCTTAATAACATGAAGCTAATACTATGTATATTTTAAAAAAGTAGGAATTTCAAGCTCTAAGGTCTTTGTGAATTAAAAAAATAGTATTCTCTTTTTTCAGTGTTTGGCGACTAGGAACAAATGAAATCATAGAGAGAGACTAAGAGGAATATTATCTTGCTTTCTAGTTCCCCATCTGGCATGATAGAAGGTACCCCACAACTTCATGCAAATGCATGGAGAGTTTCCTCCACCTGTTTTGCCCCTGTTCATGTCCCTGTGGTGGACCCCTGCAATATTAATCAAGAGAACAGTAAGTCCTTCTGCATGTAAACTTAGGGGGAACTATGTATTACTGTAATCTTGTAAAATTAGTGATTTTTAAATTCTGATTTTCTTCATTGTGATAAAACCAGTGCCATTCCTTATGTATTTTTGTTTAACATTATGCCATTACATATGCTTCCTTAGGTAATCTAGATTATTTTTAAAAATAATTACAGAAAATGAATATTTTATGTACTACTTTGCATTCATAAATTTACTTATTTAGCTGCTTGAATATCACCAAATTCTTCCCAAATGTAGGCTAGCATTTTAAAGATTTCTGATTCTTTAAGTTCTAAAGAAAACCTCTGGAAATACTCTAATAAACACTGTTTTAGTCTTGGGATGTTTAACTTCAGTTCCATAGTGTGACAGCTCATGTGGATTCTCCTGTTTATTGCTGTCACATTACCGGTTCCTTTATGGCTTCATAAGCAGGAAGCCAGTGATCCAGGGACGATCTGTGCCATCAGGTATGCAACAATTTGAGAAGGTCATGCTCCGGACTTCTAATTTGCAGTGACAGTACAACTCACATGCCAAGAATTTCTCAGCAAATAATATGACAGGCTATTTCACTGCCCAATCAAAGAAAACATTATTATTATTTGTAAAATCACTCTGTGAAAAAATTAATGTGCATGCTTAAATAGATATTTTTATAATTCAATTTGTTCCTTTAATTATTTTGGCTAATTTGCTGCTTTTTGCAGCTAGTATTGGTCGGGCACCCACAGGAACCCAGGACGGTTTCTGGACCCTGGAGTGGTGGTTTGGGAGGACTCGGTTGACTGTTGTGTGGTTCTTACTGTTAACTTAAGATCTTGGTGGACTGGACAAACACAAGATAATTTTGCTTCCAGTGCTATTTCTTTAAGCCAACTTCTAAATTTAAAGATTTTTAACCTCTTTGGTCATTTTTCCTACCTACAATAAGAAGATTAAAGTATTTTGTCTCTATGATTTGATACTTTCAATCTCATTCCTAGTTAACAATACTTTGTCTCCTACTCTGTCCTTGACTTTCTACTAATAGATCTATGCCTTCTCCTTGCATTTGTTTCATTTTTTTTGTTTCTTTCTCAGTTCCCTCCTTGATATTACAGAAATTGCAGTTTTTATTTTTTTAAATAATGTGTAAAACTTGCAGTCCAGTCCAGGTGATAAACTCAGTTTCTTTCTCTCTGGTCTTTTCTCTAATGACTTCCTTTATTATGTGTCATTTTGATGTGTATGTTTTTATCAGTTTTATCTCCTATTGCATGTTTTCTATGACATACAGCTTAATATTACCCTTCTTCATCTTTGCCATGAACTATTTTTTTAAATTTCAAATAGCTAAATTCAGAAAATCCCCAAAGAAAGGAAAATAAATAGATAAAAGTCAGGACTCTGATGTAGATTCTGAAGGATCCACACCCTTTTCACCAGGATCTTCTGGAATCTCCCTTTTACTTAAAGTCAGTGAAGTATTTTTGATCTACAAATCCTTAGTGCCCGAAATAAAAGCCCCATAGGTGTATTACTTTGCTTTGGAGCCCCTGGGGATTAGAAGTATGCATGCCAGTGGTACACTGCTAGAGTCTGAAGTTGGCTGTTTTCACATGCATGTGCATAGCAATGCAAAAATATACTTAGACAACAGCCATGCATGTCCTTCCCAATAATAAATATATTTAAAATCCTCAACAAAGTAAGCTCAGTATAATTCCTTAGTAGTGAGAAAATTCTGATCTCCAGCAGTTCATGTTCTCACAGTGACACTCAAAGACTGATTCTGTCTGTGAGGAAATCAGTGCAGCCTAGTTCTACTACATCAAGAAATCGCAGGCTATCCTTTTCAGAAAGGTGGGATCTAGATTGTTTGGTCAAATTTGATTACTCCCATAAAGAATTATACCTGATCAGTCATTCTCAAGGGAAAAATCAACAAATTTCAGAAAGTAATTGCACCCCCATTCCCCAAAATGCCTTGGTACTTACATCCCTTGGCTTTTAACATTTGTTCCAATCCCTAATTTCTATTCCTTATTTAATAAATAAGGAATTCATGCCTTCATGGATTCATTTATCAAACATTATTGAGCTCCTGATGTTTCCCAGACATTGTGCACAGGGGGCTGTGCCTCGGGCAGACATTATGTTCAATGACTGTGTGGCATCTGCTGCATTACCGCGGGCCCCCGCGACTCCTTTGGAGTGAGATGATTCTCAGTCCTTCCTGGATGACTGTGCGGTCCAGGCAGTTGCAATGACATTCACAATCAGGAACCATTTTCATTGTGTGTGTGGATGCCCAGACATAAGCCTTCCAAGATGTATCAGTTATTTATAGCAGAATTGAGGTGATTTCCTAAAGTAATCCTTAGGCAATGCAGTGATTGAGGCCACTTCTATCCATCTTTCTGGTACTTGGGTTATTCATGTATAACACAATACTGTTTCTTCGGGGGTTTTTTGCAAAAGATGATTGAAATGGATTAAGTGCTGTCACCAATGTTACCCAAGCTAAAAATGAACAAACAAACAAAAAGTCAGGGTAAGCTGAAAATACTTTTACTGAAAGTAACATGCAATACACTGTAGTTCTAGGAAATGAAGATGCTTGGGTCATTCTGGAATTTGCTGCTTAGGGGTAAGATCTAATATGTGAGGTGCTAATGAGATTCCTTGTCTGTTAGTTGCATACGCAGCACACTGTGACGTTCTCCACCAGGAGCTCTTTGCTCCCTGCCATGTCTACATCAGCCCTGGCCTCTACTACCAGCTATGCCGGCATGATGCATGCCGGTGTGGGAGCCCGTGCCTGTGCAACGCCCTTGCTCACTATGCCCATCTCTGTGGCCAGCGTGGCGTTCCTGTTGATTTCAGAGCCCAGATTTCCCTCTGTGGTGAGTATGGTGCTGGTGGCACAGAGAAAGACAATCAGCTGGTACTGTAGACTTTTTATGTTTGTATTACAGTCTGTATTTTTTAAATGAAAGGTCACTATTACTTAAGTTATTTGAAATATTTCTATAATGTACAAACAATGGAAAACAAATGAAATACTTTTTACAGTCGGAGCTGGGTTGGATAAGATCAGTGATTTTTGACTATTTTTATTATAAGCAAAATTGCAGTGTAACTACATGGTTTGAAATAGGCAACAGAAATCATTTGAAAAATTTGGAAAAGTTAATATTGTAGACATGTCATATTTAAGTACTGGAAAGTATGGGAAAGTGTTACATGATAACACAGTGAATTTGTACTTTAATAAGTAAGTTATGCAACAGGCAATTGTCTCCAGTTCCTGGGGCTTGAGTCCTCGTGGCTGTGGTGTCTGCTTTTCTCATTCATAGTATTTCTTATGTGTTCTATCATTTCTTTTGCGAGCTATTCTTTATCAGCCTTGCAACCCCCATTAGAACCTTGTGACATGGGTTTCGGGACCATCACTGTCCCCACCCTTGGTGACTTCACAAAACTTCCTCCTGTTACTCTAGGGGTATCACTGGCCCTGGATAAATTGATGTTAATTTCTCAACTTGGGCTTCCTAAGACAAAAGTAGTATAAATATAAAAGTGATGTAAATTCATATACCAAACCTGTGCAGAGAGTAAATCTGGGTTACGCTTTCTCAGGAGATATTTTATTTGATCACAGACGCACAGCGTTAGGATTTCCCAGCCTCTTCCTGTAGTATGAGCAGATTTCTTCTAGTCCAGGAGCTGGCAAATGACACCTTGGGCTTCTTGTGTCTTTGTAAATAACGTTTGCTGCCCACGTGTGTAGCTTTTGCCTATGGCTGCTTTGAGCCTGGAGGGGAGAGCTGAGTAGGTGTGGCAGGGACTGAATGGCCTGCAAAGCTGAAACTATTCACCGTTTGGCTCTTATAGAGAGGAGGTTGGCTGCTCTCTGCTGTCGTCCACTTTTCAGATGATGATGGAGCCTTTCTGAGGGTCCAAATTAAGGGTCTCCTAATCCCTTCCTTGTGGAGGACCAACTTTCATTCTCCACCTACACATGAGTTAACTGTAAGGTCTGAGACTGCTGGGTCCCTCTGTCTTCCTTCCACTCCAGGTCCTAGATCTGATTTCCCTCTTCACAGCTGGCATCTGCTGTATTTTTCTCACAATATCAATTATGCATTTAGCATAGTTTTGGTTAGGTTTTATCCAGCGTTTTCTAAGTGCTTGTACAAATGTGTTTTTAGGATATTTCCGTTTGCCCACTGTAATCAGTTCAGTTTGGTCTGAAGAGAAATTGAAAGGGGTTAGAAAAAGGTATAAACATGATGAAGGCAAAAAATGAGAGCTACGAGTATGGGTCAGTAAAGTCAAGTTTTGTCTTATTTGTAGATGACTAAAAATTTACTTAGGTTTCAGGAATACCATAAAGAAGATGATGTCAGTGTAATAGCAAATAGGTTTAAAATGTGAGGATAGGAAGCTTATTTAGATGTACAAAATATCTTAAATAATAAAAAAATTATGGTACCGGCTATTAGAGAATGGTATGGAATGTCACACTTCACAGAGTATTTCAAAAGAGAAATTTTATTCTTCAGTTACACTTCTACGGAGGCAAATAACTGATGTATTTAGTTAGTTGTTTCTGTTGCAGTGTTCTGTATTGTTGACTGATGCAGGAGGTCCACTTTCCATGACTGATGTCTGTCAGAGGCCCAGGGCCCAGCATAATATGCATCTGTGGCCTGGGGGCCCTCTCTCCCTCAGGGCTGGTGTGCGGGAGAGGCATGCTGTACCACCTCTGCGCCTCCTCCTGCCTGCGCTCCTGCGCGCCCCTCTCGTCGCCAGGCCGCTGCGGCGACGACTGTGCGGAGGGCTGCCACTGTCCTGACGGCAAGTACTATGAAGACACGCTCAGCTTCTGCGTGCCCCTGTAAGTCCCTGCGGCCCGTTGCTGGGGTCCGCCTTCGGCTCTGTCCTCTCACGGTTCAAGGGCCTCTCCTCCTGGTTTCTTATCTTCCTTTTTGTACCTGATTGATTCAGCCCTGGTTTTTGGAAAAATCAATATTCTCCACTATGAGTAGTGAGCTTCTCCATAAAGTAAGTGTGCATATATGCAAAGATCTGCATGTGAGTTGTTTCTTTAAAATTTGTCAGGGTCTTTACTATTTTTAATGTTAACTCCATACCTGTTTGCAAAGAACTACAGAAAGAGGTGAAGCATCTGATAGGTAATTCTGAAGTTTATGACTTCTTGATTTTACCAAATCAAAATGAACAACAAGGTTATGTTTCACTGTCATGTGGCGAGTTTTATAATGTCTGTTACCCTCAGAACTTTCTCAACTCTTGCAAGAAATAAAGACCTTTCTCTTATACGTAGGGCTAAACGATTTATCAGTTTTGCTTTCAGGGATTTTTTTTGTGACTAAAATGATACAGATTTTGTATTTTAAAAAACAAAATCAGAGTCTGCATAAGACTTCACATTTCAGTGGTTTCTGCCATTTATTTAACAGAATTTCATACAATCATATAGAATAATGTTCTCTTTATGGGGTGCCTTAAGATTTCCAGTACAGAGCATAGGGTATGCTTGAATTTAGTGTTTAAAAATATTTGTGTCCTATTTTATTAATTTAACCTTGTTTTTTCTTATAGATACCACTGCCGGTGTCATTATAAGGGTAGCATTTATCAGCCGGGGGAGCTCATCCCAACACCCTCAGGCTTATGGTAGGTTTCTAAGATAGTGATTGTACTTGATGACTGACATGTGCTAATGTCATTTTTTAACGAAAACCGTAAATTGAAATATAACTTCTGTCATTTAAAAAAATGTTGATAACCTTAACATAACCTTTTAAACCACATATGTATTACATTTCAACATAGGATGCCTAAGTCTTGTACTCATAACTGCAGAAAATTTATGAGTAGAGTATGAATGAAGTGTCATGTAGCAAAATGTTTTCAGATAAAATTAAGGGTGAGATAGGTGTTTAAATATGGCAAGTTACTGAGGGATTTTAACTCTGTGGTTCAAAAAAAAGCAATTCCAAAATAGATTTTGCCATGTCACATTCTGGAGTCAGTGTGCTGCCTCCCTAGTGGATCCTAGGGAGGTGACACTTATTTATGGGATGACACTCTTCCAAGTTGTAACCTGTTTGTTAAACACACGTACATGTCCATATTGGTGCACAACCAACTCCTGACCTCCCTCTTTTAATTGTACCATAGGAGCCCACAGATAATAATAGACAGTAGATAATAGCAACAATAATGATAATAATGTAATCTAACCATTATGATGCACCGTCCACAATCTTGATACCATCCTAAGTGTTTTATATCCATTATTAAAACGTTCCATACCATAACCCTCAGGGGTGTCACGTATCCCCAGTTTACAGGCGAGGAAAATGCGGTACAGGCAGTTAAACAACTTGGTAATGAAGTTGGGTTGCAACAGCAGGCGGCTTGGCTCTGCAGTACTTTTTTGTCTGCTTTGTGGCTTATTTTGTATTCACAGCAGAGTGCTGTTCATGCTCAATTTACCTGTATCATTATCTCTGTCTCCCTGCCTTCCACTCCCCAATCAACATTCAAAGGCAATCAGCTCTTGGATCTTTCTCTCGTGATTGCACATCTATACAGTTTCCCAGTCCAGAAATTTGGTAGTCATTTTTGACTCCTTCCTCATGCTCAACACCTCTAGCAAATAAACCCCAAGGCCTAGGGGGTTTTCCTTTCTAGATATACTTGAAATCCACTCTGTCCTTCCCGTCACCACAGCCTTAGCATTGCCTCTCACCATCCCTCCCTGGACCTTTCTCCCTGGTCTTCTTGCCTGTAGCCTTGCCCTCTCCCATTTTACCAAGGTGTTATACCTCTCTAGAATTTAATGTAACTGATTTTATTTAAGTAAATTTAGCAAACAAAGCAGTCATCCTTCCTTAATCAGGAAAATAATCCCATTTAGTGTAATGACCTCATTTGCAGTTGTCTCAGTAGGCCTTGTGGCACAATGAGGATGACCCGGAAGAGCTGGGTTTGTGACCTGGGAGCTGACTCAGTTCTTCTCTGCCGCGAGCGCTGCGCAAGCCACGCCGCCGAGTGTCGTCCTAGCTCAGATGACGCATGCGCATGGGTTTCATGCGACAGGGCCCTTAGATGTTACTAGGCTTTTTCAGCTGAGTTCAAATACAGAGCATGTGACCTGGTCCAAAGCTGAAGGAAAACTGTTTATGTTGAAATTATGGAGAACTGGCGTATTGTTTCCTAAAGTGGTATCTTTTCTTAACTGAGATACAATTAGATGATATCTTCTTAAAGGATTTTCAAAATTAGTTTTGCCTGTATTTGGTTTGCCTGATGCCCTGAATTTAGATCCTAATTTTCAAGGAAGAATTGACTATGGTCAACACTACTGCCAGAATGAATTTTCTGAAACTGAAACCAACTCCTCTGTTTAAAGTCTTCAGTGTCTCACCTCAGGGGCAAAGTCCTAGCATCGTAATGGAGCGGGCCTTTGCCTCCAGGCCTTCCGCATCTCCTGCCACTTCCTGCACCGCCCCGTGTTACACAGAACACTGTCCTCCCCCTACGTGGCTTCTTCGTACTAGGTTCCACCGAGTGTTACAGCCTTTCTATTATCCTTAAGTAATCTCCATCCATTCTTCAAAACTGTCTGGACTTCACCTTTGTTGACTGCCCTGATGTCAGCCTCCAACAAATATTTAAACATTTTCTGTGTTTTGTTTCCTTATATATTAAGCATATTTCTATGTCATGTCATATGCATACATGTGACGTTCTTTGTATCTTTCTCACCTACTAGAACATAAGCACTTGAGTAAAGACCGTGAATTTTGGCCTTTGTATCCCCCATGCCTGTAACAGTGCCACACATATAAGCGTTTGATAAAAATGTGTCGAATTGCAATAGCTCTCTTTGAATTGGACCTAAAATAATTTTTTATACTACCAACCAGTATTTTAAACTTATTTGTAAAATACACCTTGGTGAAAAATAACATTTGTATATGTACTCAGTAAATTCTTGTACATTAAGTTGCTTTTGAAATACAGGAAAAGTAAGGTTTGAGTTCATACACTAACTATGTTTGCTTCCATCAGCCAGTGTGCAAATGGGACTGTGCAATGTGATGAACCAGCAACGCCCTCTACTGGTAAGGCCTAGGGAGATGTTTTCTTTAAGGAGAAAGTGGCTCTAATTCTGCCCCCCCCCTTTCTGGCAGAAGTCATAAATCCGTCTTATTTCTCCTGGCCAATGTGCATGAATACAACTTTGGGTATGTTTCTCAACACAGTACTCCAATGGTAGCTAATTTTTTTCACATTGAGAATTATATTTGTAGGGCAGTCGGGGGTGAATGTATCATAAAGCTGCTTAGGGGCAGAGCTGATCAACCCAAGTATGTTGCCTAGACAGTGCCTGCCTCAGGACCACCCGAGGGGCTTTAGGGACATGTACCCAGGCACCTGTTGTGACCCACTGGGCAACATCAGTGGGGCGCCTACTCCAGACCAGCATTTCTCAAATTCTAATTTGCACACTATCACCTGGGGAAGCTGTTAAAACATGGATTCTGGTTCAGGAGGTCAGGGGATGACGCTTGAGATGCTACATTTCTCTCAATGCCAACGTGTCTGCAGTGCCAGTCTTGGGCTACATTAGCAGTCGATGGCTCTAGGACTAACAGTCATCAATTAAAAATGGCTTGCAAAATGACATCTACTGCCATCTCTCATCAGTATGCCATTTTATACCGGCAGGTCATCCCTGGAGATTCTATATATTAAGGGACCCTATATATTATTTGCTTTTACCATAAGAAAGCCTCAAATTCTTAGTGGAGAAATTCTAGGCAAATAATAAACAATACTACTTTCACTGATTTTAATGGACAGAAAGTGTGTAAGCAGGTAAACTGTGAGGAATTGCTTGGTTATTTATTTGCGTGGTTATGTAGATATTAATTCACTTTGAATTATGTGCCTGGATTTACTCTATAAGGACTCAGGCTGTCCAGGGCTTCTTATTAGGGTATGTTCATGGACCACACACACATTCAGTAGCAACTGGGCCATTCCTGCTTTGCCCCATTTGTTTCAGGGTGGCTCAGAGGGAAAGAAGGTAACCAGACTTCTCACAGAGGATTCCACAAGATTGATCCCTTTAGCCCCAAATTAGGGGACTTATTTCATCCCCCTGAGCCCAAGACTTTCTGGAAGAATATGTACCACCAGCCCTGCCTGTAATTATGTCCAATTCTGTACTTCTGCAGTATAATGAGGACTAATGTAAACAATGACTCAGAGGGGAAGCAAAATCTAAGAGTGTCATGTGTTCATTGTAACCACATGGCTTTGTAAAAGTTTACATATACTATATTGTTAGTGCTCAAAAAAACGTGAAAATACACATTTGGATTAATTAAAACACCCTGTTTCTTGAACTCAGAAAGGTACATACTAGTTATTGCCTTATGGAACAAAAGTGAAGTTTTCAAACTCAAAATAGGTTTTAGGCATTGAGGTGACTGAAGGGAAGTTAGCTGGATGTGTGTAATCTCATCAACCAAACATCACAGACTAAGAGCAACATCTAATAATAGCTGGTAAAATATTCTATAGTGAACTCTGTTCTTATGACAAATGCATGTCAATGTGATTATTTGACTATGGAGCACATTACAAAGTTAAGGGCATTTTGTCTGTGTCTTGCCTCTGAAGTTCATGCCTGTCCCGAGGGAAAACAGTATTTCGACTGCAGGTTTCCTGACCCTGAATTACCAGCTGGTGGTGTAAATTGTGAGACTACATGTGCAAACCTGGCCATGAACTTCACTTGCGCCCCATCCTCACCCTGTATAAGTGGCTGTGTTTGCTCTCCGGGGTAAGCCTTTAAAATATATATATAGAATATTCAGGATTTGACAAAAAACACAAGAGCTCTTTAAAAAACTTTACAGAAATAGCTAAAGCTGCTGTTCTGACTGGTGGTTTACATTGAGTTGGTAACTAAAGACTATTGTAATTATTTTGCTCTGCTAATGTTACATATCATGTTATATTTAAACTATTATATATTACATATGATGAAATAATGTTGCATGTATATTATATAGGCAGTGTTATTAAGGTGGTGCAAAGAACTGAGGACAGATTTCATTTCAGGATGAACTTCACATTTATCTCCTGCTTCAATGGCAATTTTGAGAGTGATAATGAGCCACTGTTCATTCCACACACTCTGAGGGCATATCTTTTATGTATTCCGCTATGCTGTCACTGTTGCTGATAAGTTATACTAGTGATATCAACTGCTTTGTTTAATGGATGTTATAGAAAATTCTATGGTGAGGTTATATAGGGCAGGGGGTTAACAGAGGGAGCGCTGACTTCAGATACCCAGTGGTTCAAGTCCCAGTTCTGTCAACGTGAGCTGAGTGATTTTTCTGCAAGTTCCCTTTAAGCCTCAGGTAGGTTTGTGAGATATGGTGTGTTGTACGTGTGTGTCTGTGTATTCAATAAATATGAGTTACTATTTTACAGCAGCAAAATCTACTCCTACCTGTGCAGATTTCCTTTAATAGCAGGAACGTCTAGCACATGTGAGAGGCAATACAGAATCTGGTGGCTATGACCTTCCTTGCAGGTACACATATGATCTTGCCTCACTGGCTCTCCCTTTCCTGGTCATGATAGAGACAGTGCTCAAGTGGGGGAGGGCCGCAGAAGGCAAACAAGTCACCCATTCTTCCTTGGTGAGCATATTCACACAAAGGGGTTCCTGGGCTCAGTTCACATAAGCCACGAGCAAGGAAGAGAGAGGTTTTGTGGTCTGTTTTCCCAGGAGAGTTGCATTTGCCTCAAAGGCCCCCATTTGAAAGAGGTTGAAGAGCTAATAACTTGGGGCTGTACCAATGTGTTCAGAGGGAGGGCATAGAAGGAGGTAGACGGAGCCGGTGCCCATGCATGGGAAACAAAGGCAGGTAGAAATCAGGCCATAGAGCAGGTGAGCAAGGAAGACATTTTTGTAAAAAGGACAAGGGAAATAATCCTTTGTTATGGTGAAATAATTGAAACCGACAGCACTGCTTCATTTATTTGATTTGATTCAGGCTCAGCGATGGATGGCTGATTAGATAAAGCTACATCCTGATTTTGTTTCATATGCTTGTGGTTGATGCCATTATTAAAAAACATATCTATTTTCTGTCACCTGTGACTTTTAGTTCAACAATGATTTATTTATTTGCTGGCCTAATTTCATTACAAAAACTTCAAGAAACTTTCTCCCACCTTCTCTTACTGCATTGAAATAAATAGAGTTGGAATTAAGGCTCTATTCCAACTCAAAAGAGGCTTCTGACTGATTTGGAAATAATTTTGCTACACGAAAGTTTCTATTGTAAAGTTCTTTATGGGAATGTGATTGGTATTATCTTGCGTGTGACCTTGGCTGGCTTATTTTAGGACACTAGCCCAGTATCAGCTGTTTTCATGGAGTTCTTCATAGTGCCAGTGGTTCACTGTGTACAAAAGGTCCAGGTACCTCAGTTTAGAATTCACTGTGGATGAAAGAAACTGAAAGTAACATAGTGGGTTCAAATGCTGGCCCTCCTCCTTCAAAGCCAAAGTACATTGGGGCCCGTTACTTGAGGCCTCTGAGTCTTTAACATCCTGGGTTTATAATGGGTATGTTAACATTCACTCCATAGGGTTCCAGCATATGAGTCCTAAAGTAGGGTCTCAGTAAATGTTTATTTTATTGTTTATCCCATTGCTCAAACTGGCTTGAAGCAGATAATTTACAGTGACTTAGAGCTTTCTCCTTCCTTTTTCCAGTTCTGATTAGTTATGAAGAAATCACCAGCTACCAGTAGAACCCCTTAAACCCTCTGCATTGGCTGGCATACAGGGACTGTGGTTCACTTAGGTGACACATCCCTTTGCTAAACACCAGTGTTTATGAAGCACCTAATGTTGGGACATGAATTAAGCTACAGGACAGGAGGGACTAAAATATATTTATAAGATAATAGTAGAATCTACCTTCTGAGATTGTTACTAGGATTAGATGAGTTAGTGATGTGTTTAAAAGTGGTTGGAATAGTGGCTGGGCCATAGCAAGCACTCAAAAATATTAGTAGTAGTTGTTATTATCTTTGTAACACATTTAATGAAGTACTTGCAGTTCACTGTGATGAATCCTCCCATAAAGGTCTGTACAAATTGCTACATATCGGGAGTGTCAGACATAAAAGATGACACTGAAAAGATTGCACAATGTTGAGTCTTAAATGAAAAGAAGTATTTCAGGCAGAGCTGGGCAGGACAAAGGTTTTCTAGGCAGAGAAGAATGCTCAGGGAAACTGGCTAGAAGTTTGGGAGGGTAGAGGTGAGAAATTACAGATCCTAGGGCAGTGATGTCTGAGAGTAAAGAATCCAAATGTGACCATGCAGGGTTTATACAGATGGGCTCGTTTATTCACCTTTATTCAACGACTATCTTCCCTGTGCTAGACATTGGGACCCAGACATTAACAATATGTTCTTGGTCTCCTTGAGTGGAGCTTAAGGTCTGATGGACAACATATACAATGAACAGTAGAGTGGTAGAAGTTACAGTAGTGTGGTAGAAGGTCTATGAGAGGGAACTCTGGGGAACATATGTGATCATTTCTATTTGAGAGAAGAGGCAGCAATTCAGGACTCCTGACTTGTATGTTATTTTGATAGTGTGAATTATAGCGTTGTAAAGCAAATTTAGGAAAATATTTCTATTATCTTTTATCTATTTTTAGTAGCTTTGTAAATTAATTTAGTATTATGTTTCATCTATTATTATTTTGTTATATTATAACCATATTATTTATGTAAGTTATATTATGGTTTTTTATTAGTATTTTAATTGTTTATGAAACTAATTTTTGAGAAAAAAATTTAAGAATATTAAAAAAATGTATATATTTATGTTAAGGGTATTACAATAAATATATGTAATGTGTATCTATTTAATCTTCACATCAAAATATTTTGATAACACAACAAAGTTAATTCTCCCTTTAAGATTATAAGAAATGATTTAGATTACATTTTTACATTCACAGGTATTGTAAAATATTTTTTCCTGGGTTAATCTTTCAAGAAGGAAATAATACTTCAAAGGAAACCAATATTCAAAACTAGATATGCTAAATTTTTTAAAATGAGGAATGTGAAACACTTGTTATAATGGTTTTTTTATTCAAAACACACAAGCTAAATTCTCATGATATTAGATTTAAGCACTTACAAAAAAAGCTTTTAATTACTCTGTTTTACAAGATAAAATGTTCTCATAATTCACTGTCTCATCACAAAGTTGTTAGACCCACATGCTCTTTTCTATAAAGTAGCACATATTGAAGAAAGGGGTCCTCATATTTTAAATGTTTTTTTCAGAATAGCTCACCTTATTCAGAATTTTAAGCTTCTGTCTCCCTTTAATTGTGTTGTGATAAACAGATGTTTGAAATATCGCATCCAGTCATTTGCCTGGCATTTATTGACTGTGATATTATAGGTGCTGTGTGGAAAAAAGGGGGAGAAAGACTAGAGTCAACCCCTTCATAAGTTAGGTAGAACATGGCTGCAAGAGCTGAATAAATATAAATGGTGTTGATAATGACAAGACAACCGATTTTTTTTAAAAACTGAAATTAGTAGTTTACATTAAATAGCATTTACTTATTTATTTGGAAGAATGGCAGAGCACAAAGGAAACTGTTATGTTCCTGAAAGCTGTCCATGTATCTGGAAAGATTGGGAATACCTCTCAGGAGAAGTGATTGCTACACCGTGTTATACCTGGTAATGAGACCTATTTATTTCACAAATATTTTCCTAAGCAACTGTAT